AGGCTTATTTGGTAAACAAATGCTATTTACTTGATACAAATTTTATTAATTAAATAATCTATTAATTACTCTCAAATTGTAGCCACATGATGTCAAACCAATTCTGAAAGATAGATATATAATGATTCTTACTTCTGTATTTACAGACACAAGCTTTGTAATATGCAATGAATCAATTTCTGACATCACAAAGCCAGGGATTAATTTTCTAATAAAATTAATACATTTAATAATTTAATACATTTCTAATAAAATTAATGTCTGGTAAAATTATGTTAATTACATTATTACGATAATTTTTTACCAGATTAAGTTGCTGTAAATAATGTACTTTACGTTTCAGTGCCAGTGGCTACAGAAATATTGACACTGAACAATTCTTCCTGTAATTGTCCAACGGCCCCCAACACTGCATCTTGATCTGCAAGTAAAAACAGTGATAAGCAGCTGCGCTGTGTCTTCATCTCTGTTAAATAGTCATTAGAACGTGTAGTTTAGTGAAGATTCTGGTCGTAGAGTATCCTGTGATTGCAACCACATATAACAGAATTTAAATGAAGTAATAGGTTAAATTATGATGAATATCTTATACCCATAAATCAATAGGTTTTTTACCATAGGGGCCAAACAAAACGCAGTAAACGGTGCTCTATTATTGAAATAAATGGACCAAAAAAAAAACAAACAAACAAAAAAAAAACTACACTGTGGGGCTCAAGCTTTTAAAATCAAAAGAATGAAAGACGGCCCTGTTACTGCTACTTGCTACAGCAATCAGAATTGGAAGAAGGTCTTGTGTTCAACTTTAAGTAATGTTTTAAACCTCAAACTCAATAATGTTTCTACTGTATGATGCAGAATTGTTAAATTAAATGCATCAAAGCCGATCCTATTATTACTACAAGTAAAGTTTAAAATTCTGTTCAATTTTATTACAATTTTCAAGCACAAATAATTCATTAGCTTCTGTACTGTAGGACCTAAAATTATGAACACGGATGAAGAAAAGGCAGTTCTATTATTGTAACATGGTACAGCAATTTGAATGAGGCATTTGTGTTTTACTTTAATTCAACAATAAAAATTGGTAACTTCTTTATTATTGAGATACAGATTCTTTTGTTTTTTAATTTACAACAGCCTACAGTGCTACAGCCAATGTTTAAACCTTATTATTATTTTCAAATTGGAATTGTCAAACTAAAGTGGTAAAATGAGGTCAGCAGTGCATTTGCTTGTGTATTTGTATGTCATGATAACCAATTGATTTAATTGTTAAACAAGTTTAAGTCCTAGATCAGGGGTCTTTAATTAAAGTTCAGTAAGGTCCAGTTAGAGAGAATTTCATCAAGCAAAGGTCCAGAACATCAATGTCTAACCTGCATCATGATTCAGTGCCATATACTGTTTACTGAAGTAGCCTAGTAGGTATATCAACATCTTATACAGTCAACAACTGAATGTCCAATCAAATAAAGTACAGTTCAGTCATATTTCAACAACATTTATAATCAGTTTTCTCTTTTTAGATCACGTCATATGAAATAACTTCCCTCTGACTCACTTTCTTCTCTGACTGCTGTTTCTCTCTCTCTCTGTGTGTGTGTGAGCGTCACAGGTCTGATTGGCTGAGTAGCGCCACATGTGACATTTACAACGCATGCGATTGGTCTGTGAGTCTCCGGCCGCTAAGGCTACCGTAAAGGCTAGAAAAGTTACGCCGATTAAAATAGTAAAACGAAAATTAAATAATTCTCCATTGTTTATCAGTTATAGGTCCAGGTCCACATAGGACACCGCCTGGTTCCAGACTTGGACCGCGGTCTGCCTATTAGTGACAAACCTGTTAAGACCTTTAATAAACAACAGTTAAAAATCACATTTAAAAAAGAATATGTTTGTAGTAATATGAAAAAAGCTTTCTGGAATATCAAAGGGTAAGGAACGTATAGGATTTTTGTGTGTGAAAGTTAAAGACTAACAGGGCCTCCAGTTCTATTTGTTACTTTTTACAATAAGCACTGAAATGTAAACTTTATGAGCAGAGATGGGATACATGTGTCAGTGACCTATATTTGGGGTAAACTCACAATCATAGTCAAGTAAATTTTGGATCATTTGTTGTTGAACCAGCATAAAAACAAACCTACGTGTAGGAAGTTGTAATAACAGGTCTGTAATGCCTTTGGTGCTTCATTTATAGGTGATACTGTAAAAAATGTATTTAACCATCAAAAGTGAAAGTTTATTTTAACATTTTTCTAATTTTGTTTGCTGTAGCAACTTGGACTGCTGCACCTCTCGGGAGCGTGAAGCTACTTCTGCTTCTTAATTTTAGAGGCTGAAAATTCAGAAGACACATCACACTCTGCTTTGTAAACAGTTGTGAATAATAGGGAAATATTTGAACGCAATAAAATATTAAAATGTAGAAGTTTAGTTGTTTTTATAGGCCCAACAGATGCTATTGTGTTTGGAAACTTTAAAATTCCGCTTGTGGCAATAATAAGATGGTCTATAATGCATTTGGTTTCATAAACTGTAGGCTTTACAGTAAAGAAGAATTTCTTATAGAAAATTAACTCAAAATAAAGGTAGCCCTTTATTAAAATGTATATGTTGTCGTAAGCTGCAATATTAGGCTAATCTTTAATGCATTTGCATTTACAATTTTACACCCTAAGTAAAGAAGCGAATTATTTATTTTTTTGCATATAAAAAACATTTCAACACAACATGTAAATGAATACAGGTGTCTTTATTAGATCTGATAGAAAGGTTTTGTCCAGATATCTGATGTGCATGTAGTCACACTGGACAGCAGCTTCCAAAGACACTGTGCTGCTCAGCGCTTGAATAAACTGGTAGCTGCTGAAATCCTGTAGAGGCTGAGTTTGTGTGAGGAAGATCACTGAGTGAGAAGGAACACTGAACTGATCTGCTGGTAGAGCAGAGATCAAATCTCTTGAGCTGTGGATCTAAACAGGTGTTGTTTCTGAGGCCACTTGATAAAAGGGACTGATTTACTGATCTTAATGGGTCTCTTAAAGAATTAGTCTCTAATATCTCTCCTCTTCAGTACTGATGTGTTTTGTGTACATACATACATCATCTAAACCGCTTATCCTTCTGGGTCGCGGTGGGGTGCTGGAGCCTATCCCAGCTGTCATTGGGCGGAAGGCAGGATACACCCTGGACAGGTCGCCAGTCCATCGCAGGGCAGACAGACAGACATACACAGTCACACAGTCACACACACCTAGGGGCAATTTTAGCATGTCCAATCAGCCTGACTGCATGTTTTTGGACTGTGGGAGGAAACCGGAGTACCCGGAGGAAACCCACGCAGACACGGGGAGAACAGGCAAACTCCACACAGAAACGACCCTGGTCGCCCAGCCGGGAATTGAACCCGGGCCATTCTTGCTGTGAGGCAACAGCTACCCACTGCGCCACCGTGCCACCCAGTTCAGATCAGTATAATTATATTAGTAAAGCACATTTAACAACAGTTACGAAGCATCTTTCCAGAAATGTCAGTACAGCCCCCTTATGACCATCACAGAGGGAGAACCTCCCTAAGAGCATGAGGGAGAACCACTGAGAGGAACCAAGACTCAAAAGGAGAAACTCCCTAAGACTGTGAGGAAGAACCACTGAGAGGAACAAAGACTCAAATTGAGACAATCCCTAAGAGCATGAGAAAGAATCACTAAGAGGAACCAAACCCAAAAGGAGAACCTCCCTTAGAGTATTAAGAACCACTGAGGGGAACCAAGACTCAAAAGGAGAACCTCCCTAAGAGCATGAGGAAGAACAAGTGAGACTCACTTTCAGTTCCTCAAAGAATCTGCAGACACACCTCCAAAGTTCAGTCTTAGAAGCTGGTTGATCATTTTCTGAAGTAATCAAACACATTCAGTGGTGTTGAGGTCTGGACTCTGGGGTGGTCAGTCCATCGTTCAGCTTCTTTGTTTGATGTGTCCGGTTCTTCTTGACAGCTACACATCCTTTCAGACCCACAGCGCTGAGTCGTCTTCTCACAGTGGAAGGATGGACAGAAACACCTGTGGATGTTTTCAGATCTGAAGCAGCTTGATTTTCTCCTCTCTCTCAGAGATGAAAGCTTTAAGTGCTGTTTATCTGATGGGGACAGTTTTGGTGTCGACCACATCTTCCAGGTGGTTGTTAGGAGACACATTTTCTCTGTGGCTTTTAATTGGTTTTTGGAAACTCATGTTTTTTTTTTCTTCTCCTTTGACTTTCTCCTTCCTTATGCAAGTGGGCTATCTTAGATCTAATCTCAACAACTTTAATTCCATGGGTGTTTTGACTGAAATTTAAAAAAGAATGGTGGACTCTTGCACAGATGAGTATGTTGATGGTTTTAAACTAATAAATAAACAAATTAAAACATTGATGAATTAAAGCTAGCTATCTGAATTGTGGAGTATCAGAATGAAACTCATGGGTGGAACATAATTTATTCCGTACACATAGTTAACTGTACATAACTTGTAAGAAGTGCTACCAAAAAACTGAGATCTGCAGCTTCACCTATTTTAACAAATTATAATAATTCACTGTTTTATTCATCCAGTTTATAAATGTAAACAATTTCAAGATTCAGATCAGTCAGAGCAAAAACTAACAGATTAAAAAACGGCTTCTTTCCACAGGCAGTCAGATGTATAAGTCCCTACTCCCCTCCTGCTCCTCCCTAAGGCTGAGACTAAATCTATAACTACACTAAGTCTGAGATATCTTTAATTTTGCACTACATATTTCATTTTGCACTAGTATGTTTGTATATACTATCTTATTGTATTTATGTTTATGTGTTTGGCCTTATCTTTATTTCTGTTTTGTTCGTCTTTTCATATCTATTCTAGACCTGCTAAATGGTTTTTCATTGTTTTTAGCAATGACAATAAAGATCTATCTATCTATCTATCTATCTATCTATCTACAAGTTGTCTTTGTCTTTCATTCTCTTGCAGTGTCTGAATCAGCTGATCCTCCAGTGAAGGTGAAGCTTCATGACTCTGCCTACTCTGTCCTGCTCTGAGAGATGCTCTGGTTTGGTCAGATGGACTGTGTTCCATAAACGCAGTGACACTCTGGCTGCGTGTGATCAGACTTCATGTAGATCAATGAAGGAGGGATATCAGATGATCCATGATCAGTACCTGAAGGGGAATCTCTCTCTCACCATCACTGACGCTGATTTCACTAAGAGAGGCTGGTACACGTGTGACTGTGATGGGAAAGACGTCTGTGATGTTCAGCTACAGATTGAGCGTAAGTGTTCATCTGTTTTCTTCACTGACCATTACACCTAAGGGCTGCACTGTACTTGATTTTAGCAGCTGCATGTGCGTGTGTTCACAGCAGCTGTGCGAGCAGCATTGTTGACATATTCATCTGCTTGGCTTCTGGATGTTTTGGAGGATTAACATCTAAACTAGGGGGCTGCTTAAAGATAAAACTTCAGTAGGCAGATTAATCACTGTTGGCTATGAGGCCCATCACAGTGGTGTCGTCTGCAAACTTCAGGATCTTCACAGCTGGTTCCTCAGAGATCTTGTGGACAGATGCTCTGATTTGTCCTCTGTCTTTTGGAATAAGAGTAGATCTTGTTTAGCTCTAAAATGTTACCTTTGTCAAATTTGCATGCTTGTTTTTCTTCTCAGCCTTGAACACTACAGTTCAGACAGAGTCTGGTGAATCTCTGATGCTGAAGTTGGACATATCAGATCCAGTGGAGGTGATTTATAACAGCACAGGTTCAGCTGGACCATCCAGTGGTCAGATCTGTACAGTGGATGGACAATCACTACAGTGTAAACCTGAATACACACAGAGAGCATCAGTAACATCTGCCCTTCAGCTGAGAGCAGTGACTCCATCTGACAGTGGGGTTTACACTGTACTGGCCAAAGGGAATGAAGAGGTCATTCACACCTACACAGTGACCGTCCAAGGTATGACTTTAATGTGATTTTTACATTATATATATTTTATTTGGGGGGGTATCTGTTATCAGCAGTTATCAGAAAACTACATCTCCATTTCCTGAAGGTGATACAGATTAAAAGAAAGAAGATTAAGATGAGCAAAACAAAAGTAAAAGACCTGTGGTTGGGTGAGGCTGTTGTAAATGACATAAAAGCATTTATGGGCCGTCTTGTGCCGTTTTATATCAAAACTGAAAACATTTTTAAAACTTTTTGCTTACACAGTCACTAAATAAGTGAACGCAGTGCACTATTCTCAACCCATCATTCAATAAATGTTAAACCAGCTGTTTAACAACAGATAAACATTAAACGGTGCTGCTAGGAGAGAGGAGCAGGTTAGCATTAGCATAGCTAGCATGATAGCAGCTCTGCTCACCACAGAGCATGTTGGATTCTGGCTAAACTGAAGTACCGACACAAATTTGGATGATGACTCAAATCTGAGGGAGTGAAGTCGAGCAGCTGGTGCTGAAATAAAAGAAAGAAACCTGTTCTGTGGTGTTTGGATCTGTAGTCTCTCACTAAGCTGATGTTAAGTTAGCTGATCAGGCTAAAAACAGAGCCACACACTACAGTACAGGTCTGATTCTGACTGACTGCTGCTCTGCTGAAACGAGTATAGATGGTAAAGTCTGATAATAAGGTCAAGAGCCTGACAGGGAGCTGAAATCAAACCTGTTCTGTGGTGTTTGGGACTCTAGCATTTTGGCTAAGCTAACAATAGCTTAGTTAGCAGGACAAACAGCAAAGGATCGGTTCCAGCTAGCTGAAGCCAAAATGACCCCATTTAGAGGATATTTGAGCGCAGAGTGGACGGACTGAAGTGAATTAAACCTGTACTTGTGTTTATTTACCTTTGACAGTTTACTGGCTTGTGATTGGGCCATCGTGTCAAATCTTTACCTAAAGAAAGCCATTCGTTTTGTTTGTGTTTTTAGCTGTGCAGGACAGCGAGGTATGGAAGAGGGCCTATGAGAAGGGAAACAGTGACGGATATCAGAAGGGAGTGGGGATCGGAGCACTGGCTGTAGGAATTGCAGCTCTGATTATCATGATTGGAGTATTCTTTCTTGGTGTGTTTACTGCGCCGCGGGTGCGTCCATTTTCACCTCCTTAAAATCAGCATCAGTGATTTATCATCATATCGGTCAGGTCCTAATTTTCACTGTGACTCCTGTGAGTTTATAAACTCCAGCTTTGTGCCTTTACTGTCCAACATTCCAGCTGATTCACTGTACCAATGTCTATAAATGCACTGCAGCTACTTCGCTGTTTCTGAAATGTTTTAATTACAAACAAATTACAAATTATAAACAGTAGTAAATATCACTACGGGTTGAAGTGACAATTAAATGCAAATGAGGTGATGACAAAAAAAAAAGACCAAGAGAAGATGAGGTCCAACATAAACCGTTAAACCAGTATTTTGACTTAAAACACATAGGGTGTCATACTAAATCGTACACGTGCCAGGCTAAGTTTCCAGGTTAACCCAGTTTTGTTAAGACTTTCTTTACTTCCTCGTTGTTTAGGTCTATAAGCATAACATGCAAAATTAACCCATTTGTCTTCAATTCTTTTTCTTCCCTTAATTCATTAAATGTGAAAATGCCACCTCTAAATATGTTACACAAAACAAACCTACTTTGAAATATTCTCCTTAAATATACATTACACACAAAACAATAAAACATAAGCATAAGGTAATTTCATATGAGACTTATTTGTTTTATTCCCAAACGGGTTTGGCACTCTTTAAAGCACGTCTCAGACTCCGCAGAGTGCAGTATTCCTCCATATTTAACACATTCAATTCAGCAGCGAGTCAGCAAGGCCTTCATTAACACATTTACTTTTATTAACACATGTAACCAATATAACAAAACAAGCACCCATTACAATGAAATTAAAGCTTATGGTTAAGATGCATAATTTTGAACTGTACAGTTTATTTTTCCTGATAAGTTCACAGCACTGTTTACTGAAGATCAATTTTTCGAGGGTCTTACGCTGAAAATCTGGCCTTCTGGTTGAATAAAACAACTTGTTCAAGGACACTGGCAGCTTAAAAAGATGAGCTGACTGGCTACGTATTTCTACAGATGGCAGGTTTTAGCCCTTTAAAATGAGCTTCAGAAAACCATCACATAATGCCTTTGAAATTTAAATTCTCTTTGGATTTCTTCAGTAGAACTCTTCAAGGCTGATAATCACTTGTCTTTATGAATGAACTGATTTTCTTGCTACTGATTAATAAAGTAAATGCTAATAAAAATTGAAACAGTCCTGTACAGAAATCCCAGCACACATTCATTTTTCATTTTCAGATAAAATGGACATTAAGTGCAAGTGTAAAAACAACGTGTATTACACAGAAAATTATGTGCATGAAGTAGAACAGAATCTATAAATAATTCACTGAGATGCTGTTGTTTACACTTATACCCTGATCATTGCTTCACGGCATTACATTCATTTATAGTCCTATTACTTTTATTGCGTCTTGTTAAATGTCCATAACCCCCAGCAACATGAGTTAAACAGGATGTTTACCATCTCTGTCCCCTCCTTTCGGCTCTTGTTCATTACAGTATGTATCTGGAGCTAAAAGAAAATATGCAAACATTTTAGAAAAGGCACGTATTCTATTTGAATGGGAACAGGCGACCCTTTCATCAGATCAGGAGAAAGTCACAGTAGTTTATTTTTCTTTTTACTTTTCCTGAAAAATGATTGCAGCAATGTCTACAGATAAACGTTAATGTTTTACATATTTTGTTTTCACTTTTTACAAGCGTTTCACCTTCATGCAAATTTATATTGTTTTCTTCTTAAGTTTATTAGCATCTTTAAAAACTGCTTTCAGTTGACTGCAGTAGTTGAAAATCAGTTATCTATATGGATATAGATCATTTAGTGCAAAGTGGCATTTCAAGAGTGTTGATGTCAACAATGTAAACAAGTGAAAATGTTGATTTTATATTAAGGTTAATTAAATATTGTAAGTAGAACATGTAAAATTAAATTATTAGAAGAAGGAATTAATTTGTCATGTACATTTTCAGCTCCCCTCATAACTTCTCTCTATCCATGTTAATCGGATGTAAGAAACGTGGAAACGTCAAAAACTGAAAATTCAAATTGTAACAGCAATGCGTTTTTCTGTTTTCAGTAGTACTGATAACATCTTCGAGTCAGCATTGAATTTCTGACATAAATTACAGGTTAAAACTGCTTTCTATAGCCATGAACATCACGCCACCACTACCACAGACACTACAGCAGTGTCTTATTCACCTCGTCTTCAGTGCGGTACCAGAACGCACAAGAGAAGTTCTACAGATCTACAGACAGCTATTTTACAGGTCTAACAAACTGCTGTCTGATGCGGTTTAAGAGTCACTGAGTCTGTTGCAGGACAAAATATGACACAGTTAGATGTCCCTGTGGCTGAGCATCACATCAAGCTTCTTTTCCTTTCAGCTTTTTCAAGAAAGATGAAAACTTTCAATCTGCAAAAAGGAAAATGTTCTTCAGATCTCTGGCTGGTACTCTCCTATTTCAGGGGAACATCGCTTTCCTCTTTTTCAGCTTGATTTCCGTCTGCGGGATCTTATCTTTGGAAGACTCTGCCCATCAGTGGACGCACCTGTGGCCCAGCAAATATTCCCAGAATTACACCAAGAGCCAGCGCTATGATCCCAAAAACCACTGCCCCAATTCCCAATCCGTTACGATATCCATCTTCACTTCCCTTCTGATACCCATACTTCCAACTTCGGCTCTGCTGTTCACCTAAAGACAAAAGATGAAACGGAGGAGTTAAATGTGATTGACGCCCTTCAGAAAAGTCTTGAGATTCTACATGAAAAGTCAGACTGATGAAACTAATAAGAAGCTTATTTACAAAGAGAAGATTTCTGTGAAGAAATGTATTTCGGTAGGAGGGACCTCTGTGAAGCTGGCTCCCCATGCACTCAGAAATGGAATAAAAATGTTAATAACGTCACCTAAAATATCGGCATGTGGACATGCTAAATACATGCATGTTAATGTGAAGCTGTTTCAAGCATTAACATGGATATTCCCTGGTTTTGCCACACAGTTTTATCAACCTGATAAAATGCATGCTTAAACGTTCCAGAAAAAAATGAAGATTCAACATCTAGAAAATTAAGAATATTTAAGTCATTTTATCGAGCATGTAGTCGGTTTCAGCGTTGCTCTAAAAGTGCTTTATTGCGGCTCGCAGCTGCTGTGCAAAACTTCGCTTGCTCTTTTCCGGCACCGCTGTCTGTTTTCGCACATGCGCAGACTGAGAAAAATGAAAGAAATCAGAGTAAGAGCACACATCTGATAACTGAGCTCAAATCCAGCTCTCTTTATCGGATTTCTAGACCTTATTCTAATCTTAAAAAAAAAAAAAAAGGAGTGGGCTGTTTACATGACCACTTGAATATCAGATGACTACAGAACTCAGACTATGATCGGATTACTGAGTGCATGTAAACGCACTCTGTGTCACTTGGACCACAGAAATGGAAACTAAAACTTAACAGCAGGCGGCACAATCAATGTTCAATTAAATGTTTTTTTCCAATGCAGTTGTTGAGCTTTTTACATTGTGCATCTATCTATATACATCATTATATCACTAATATTAGTGATATCACTACATCTCCTCTCCTGTTAATACTCACTGTGCAACATATAACTTGCTGCTGTAATGACACTTCCACTATGCACTTTACACTGTAATATTGCTGCAACTCCTAGTTATGGCTACACTCATTTTTATTTTACCTCATACCACTCAGTGCTTGCTGTCATGTAAACACAAAATCTGTCTCATATGCCATGTAAATATGCAAACAGATATACTTTACTTCTACTCTTACACTTATGTCTATTTTTATTTCATTTTTTCTGCATAGTATATGTAAGTATATGTGTGTTGCTACTGAAACACTGCAATTTCCCCTCTGGATAAATAAAGATTGATCATCTATCTATCTATCTGTCTGTCTGTCTATCTATCTATCCATCTAGTTGGTTAATGGGCTAAAGTTTGGCCACCCCCCCAATCTAACTGCATGTTGTTGTTGATTTTCTCGGTAAAAACAAATTAATCCATCCTCTACAGAGAACACACTGTGTTCAAAACTTGCTTCATATTTTGTGTTTATTTTTTTTTCTTCAATATATTAAAAAAGTCAATTTAATTAGCAAAAAAATGTCCTACTGCAAGTTTTTTACATTACATTTTTTTTAACATACATGGCAGTGATTCTTGACTAGTATTTCTTACCTTGAGATAAGACGCTGTAAGATAAACTACAATTCCTGCATCATGTTTTACGTCAAATCCTTAGAACAAAGTTATGTTTTTATCTTGTCAGCTGAGAAATTGGGCCTAGAGATAGAAAGTTTGTGTAATACAGCCTCTGGAGTCTTTATACATGATAAACATCATGGCAATGTAAAATTTTTATTATATAAAAGGTAAAGATTAGTATGCAGGAGTGTGGTGATGCGTCCGGTTCTAACAGTCGTACCGTTTTTAGAGCCAGTGAGGATCAGAGTGATCAGCTGTGTTTCCTCTCTGGAAGCCTCTCTATCAGCTCTCACCTCTGTTCTTCCTGAACAATATCAGAAAATACATCATTCTGTTTAGAATTGGGAGTGTCTGTTATGAGACTATTAAGACTGTGCACAAAATCTTTATATGACACTATATAGTGGATAAACTTCTGGTGACTGAAATATGAATTTACGAATTCAGCTAAACAGGTGCTGCAGTCAAGTCTCAGAGCGCCATGTTTTGAGTGTTTTTCCTCCTCTCCCATCGCCCTGACCAATCATCAAGCAAGAATACCAGTCATCCCCTCCACTCCCAGCTGCACGTACACGTCTATCAGCAGACAACCTCCTTTCTTCTCCGCACTTTACTCTCATTTTCACTTCAGATTTTTGGACCAGCTGTTAAACAGTCACTTCTAAGTTGTTACAGATGTATTTCTGTGTTCAGTTTACGCTGGCATGTTAACAAGATTGAGGAAGTTGAAACATCTGTAGGGATTTATGCTGGTTTCTGCGATGATGTGAGTTTGTGAGGCGATGAGGCTGCAAAGTTGTGCAGCTGTAATAGAATTAAGGCTGTGAGGTTGTGAGCCTACACAGCTGCGAGGCTGTGAAGCGGTGAGACTGATACCGTGAGGCAGTGGGGCTGTAATGCTGCGAGGTAGCAGCATCGTGAGACTATGAAGCAGCGAGGTTGTTAGGCTGCAAAGCTGATCAGCTGATGATGGAGTGATGTGCACACGTACATAGTCCGTCTCTTACTCACAAACGTTAGGTAGCTGTGTGTTTATAACAAGTGTTTTCTCCAAATTCAACACAAAATGCCACTTTAATGACCACTGCAGTCTCAGAATTATTCAACCCCTTGAACAGAATCCCTCATAAGAGCTCACATTCGCAAACCAGGTGTTGTCTCAAGCACAACAGATGCAGCGAATCAAGGGCTTCATTAGTGTCATCAGGTTTGCTTGAGATTAAAAAAAATAAATAAAAATCATCAAATACCTGGACTGGCTTGTGGGGTGGGGTTGGGGGTGGGGGGCAGCTGACTGTGAAGTTTGAAGATTACATGTTGGAATCATGGCCAAGTCAAAAGACTTGTCCAAAAAGTTAGAGATTGTTTGAAAAGGCTACAAAAAAAACAGCAAATGTACTGAATGTTCCTAGAGATTCAACTGGAAGCAAAGTTTGCAAGTTCAAAGTTAAAGGAACACTGACTAAACTACCTGGACATGGCAGAAAGAGGAAGCCATCACCAGCTGCCACCAGATTCCTGAGGAGACAGGTGGTCTAAAACCCTCGAGTGACTGCAGCAAGATTTAGTGGCAGCAGACACTTCAGTTTGGACAATAAGGCTCATACTACAGGCTGAAGGTCTGCACACCCAAACTCCTACTCCTACTACATATACACTTCTACTGCTCCAAAAGCACAAGAAAAATGGGCTCCAATGTGCTGAAAACCACATACAGAAGTTTTGGGATTCTGTTCTGTGGAGCGATGTAATAAAACAAACTTCGTGCCTATGGATCAGTGGTATATCAGGAGGACGAAGAATGAAGCATACGCTGAAAAGAACACCCTGCCTGAAGTGAAGCCTAGTGGTGGCTTGATGATGCTCTGGGGCTGCTTTGCGTCCTCTGGCACTGGAAACCTGGCCACAGAAAATCTTTGGTAGGACTGGAAGAAGGTACTTGCAGCACGCAAACCCAGTGAACTGGAGGCCATTGCCACTGTAACTATTTGACAATTTCTACGACAAATATTAGTATTGAGATTCATAATTTCTGTTCATGTGGAGCTTCAAGACAAAAAAATCTTCTCCACCTCAGGTTTGACAGCACCTTCAAATGTCTTGATATGCGGAATGCAGCAAAAGAAAAAAGAAAGTAAAGTCCTTGCTAGCATGCCGGCGCCATCTGTACAGTGTATGAACTGCTGAACAGGTTCACAAACTACAGGGTTCAGTGTGTTTCAAACATCAGAACTAGATTAGACTGAATATAGTCAATATCTGATCTGTTAAAATATGCCTGTATCGGCTTCAATCCCTATCCACTTGATTGTATTAGGACACCCTCAATTTAAACTGTGTTAACGCGCTGCAAATTTCTCAACAGGAGTATTAAAGCACTTACCTTTAACAGTGACCGACACTGTCCGTATGAGAGCCGCTCCATCGTTGACCTCTCTGACCGTGTAGACTCCAGAGTCAGCAGACACCACGTCTCTCAGCACCATGGAGTTACCACACACTGACACTCTGTCTTCATACCCCGCGTAACAGCGCACGGAGCGTCCATCCACAGTGCACATCTGGACAGGGCTTACAGATCCTCCATCAGTCCGGGAGAACGTTAGAGTCACTGGATGGAACGTGAACAGATCCAAGACGAGGGGATCTCCAGCTGGGTACTTCAACAGAAGAGCTGTGAGCTGCAGGAGAGACAAGCAGAGATCTTTGTAACAAACATAAGTTTAAGTTATCAGTCAGATTTTTCTCCACATTGTCCAAGCTCTTAAAGTCTACCTAAACAATATTAAGATTACTTTCATTCATTGAGCGTTTTTGTTCTTATACTCACGCTTGGGCTGGAGGTTCTGGAAGCAGATCACTTCTCCGCTACATTTGGTGAGATAAAATCCTCTGGTGGTGTAATTAACCTGAGGAACAGTGAGGCTACTCTGGTCCAGGTGTCTCTCACAGCTGAACTCCGACTCCTCTTTAACTCCACATTCGGCCACTTTCACTCCACTCTTCTCCCAGGTTTCCACCCCTGAACAGGGCTCTGAACAGTACAGAGTGGCCGGGTCATTCAGATCCCTCCATGTGGTTTTGACGAAGTTAGCCAGTGTCTGCTGACCTGCTGAAGAAGAACAAGTGTGGATATAAACTACTGTAATCAGACACTCAATTAGAGTCAGAGCAGATTACTATAATGAACAAATTCTATTATATCAATTCAGTATACTTGTTCTGTAATACGCAGTAAGTTGTAGTAAATTCCTGACAGTATTGAATAATTTGTGTATAAAAGGTAAATTCCACATTGGCTGGGACGATTTTGTAATATATTTTGTAAAGTCAAAATATAAACTGCGAAACAAACTAACAGCACTAATTTTCAACATTATTAATGCATTTTCATAGTTTGACCCTTGGAACCTTATAGTTCCACCCTGAACTGTAAAACACCATGTAAAGCAAGTGTCATGCACTTCCAGGTCGTGAGTCAAGAAAATATATATATATATATATTTTCTTTTATTATATTTTTAGCAGAATGGGCTGTTACCCAGAGTCTGAGCCTTTGAGCTGCTTCGAGTAAAAGAAAAATGCTAACTTTGATGCCGTTATTACTCAGTGAATCCATTTCTGCTTCCTTCCATCTTGTTCTTCCTGCATTATCACAATAAAACAGCCCATCAGACTCGATGTGAAGCTTAAACTCATGGTTAAATGCATTAAACCATCAACCGTCTAAAACATTTTAGAACGTCTAAATATTCAGTTATACACAAAAACTGCCGTTTCTCCCGTTTTATAAGTCAGTACAGATAAAAAAAACAGCAGTGCCACATGTGAAAATCCTATTAAAGACCATCTTTGTAATAACTCACGCAGTTGGGAAGTGTCTTTAATTATTGACGATAGCCCTGATATGCTTAGAGAAGTGTACTGTGACATAACGTGATGTAATTTATCTCAATAATGATGAATACGGTCCTCTTCTGAGCAGTGAGCACTCTTACCCGACAGGACTGCAGCCAGGATACAGAAGCTGAAGCTGTAGAGCTGCATGGCTGACCAGACAGCGGAGACTCAACACAGCCTGCAGGTGGAAACACATCAACAAACACTGTTAGACACGTATTTAATGACAAGACTCATCACCCACAACACCTGCACCTGTACGGTGCAATAAGAGAACCAATCCTGAGACTGTGAACTCCAGTCAATCCCCTAAGCACCATATAACCAATTACCTATAAACCACCTGCAACTGTGCTTTATTTTTTCAACCAAATCATTTCACAACGTCTCAGTTATTTAAAACCTACAAAAGAAGTCACAAAAAAGTGTTTTCAGTTGTTTCAACTCTGCTTAAAATCAAATATCAAATTTTTTGACACAAACCATCACCCCAATATTCAACAAATATCAATATTCTGCAGATGTGGAACCTGAACCTGTGGATCCCAAGCTCTTATGGATCTGAGCCCACGTTTTAATGAACTTGCAGCAAAGAAAAGATGGCAGGTGTCTAATTCAAGCAGATAGGCAGGTTTAAAAGACTGAGCTCCTGGGGACACTTGAGTTTTGAATATTTCAAGTGTCCATGTAATATTTCATTGTCTACTACCAGCACCTGTATTTTACTGTTGAGGTTTTGATGTATTTTAAATTTAAACATGGTCAGTTTGGGTTACAGCACAACATTAAAATGAAATAAAACTTTTTTTTCCCCTCTGGCCCACAGATTTGATGAGATTTCTAAATATGGTTGAGTTTGAGGTGGGCAGGTGAGCGTCTCAACCTGATGCTGCGATACCATCAACCATGTTTTAATAATATCAACAAGTTTTAAGTCTTGGCCCATGCAAATAATGATGTGCCAGGGGTGTGCGAGAGAGAGAGAGAGAGAGAGAGAGAGAGAGAGAGAGAGAGAGAGAGAGCGAGAGAGCCGTAAATCTCTTTTAAAAAAGCAAATCTGCTCCACTTTAAAACAATGATCATAAAAACCTAAAAATGTAAACTGGCTGCTTTAATATTTCAGGTTCACTGAGTGTAACAGTGATGTGAAGAAACGTGCAGAGAACTTTAAAAACGGCTTTACTGAAGAAGCATTGATGTTCATTCCTCATTCATGGACATTCCCTAAATCATAAACAATCAACACTAAATCACTGTATGTTTTGATGTGTAAAACTTTATATAACAAACAAAAAAATTAAATAACTGCTCATTTTACAGGTTAGTTAATTAAATTCTGGGTGGTGATGAGCCAGAATACACAGTTCTACAGTGAACTGTGCTGAACCCCAGACCTTTACACGCCCGGCCACCGTCTACTCCCTTCTGTCCCACTGCAGAGAGGAGAAGGAAAAGGGTTTCTACTCTTGTAAACTTCCATCAGGTGCATGATGGGAAAGAATCTAAAAACACAAGCTGCAGTTTTGCAGATATGGACCCTGCAAGACCCCCAGACTCTGCAGGATCTCAGTGTGTGTCTAAAAGTGTCAGACTCCAGTCTTTTAAAGCCTTTTCAGTCTTACAGTGCTCGGTTAGCGTTAAGGGGAGGACGCGTTCACGGCGGGCAGCGCGCCAGAGCTGCGTAAACACAGCGCCACACACTCCGGCACTGAACCGCTCGGTGCGGAACGGTGTCGATATAACAAACATCAATGGCCTTCACTCTTACGGCCAAACAGAACAGTTAACAGCCACTCTAACCCACGGCGTGGCTGAACTCTCTCCCTCTCTTGGGCGGCTGCGTCGCGCGGGTGGGGCCGGGCGGCGACTCGGCGTGGCTAGGCTAGCTAGCTGAGGCGGCAAACGGTGCAGATTCCCACGGTGTCGGTGGAAGTTCGGGCTTCCGGTCGCCCAAACCGCTGGCTAACTGGTTGCGGAGCTTGGTCGGACGGGAGGGGGCTCGGTTGAGCTCACCAAACAGTCACTAGCTCCTGTACCTTCCTCGACAACGAGGCCGGTCGCCTGAGCTGAGCTGAGCTAGGCTAGGCTAGCGCGCAGCTCAAAGGGCGTCGAACTTGCTGGCTAAACTGCTGCAAGTACAAGTAACTACAATACATGGCCACCACTTTCCTTTCACCACAGTTATTTACAGGATATAGCTGATACGGCTGACAACACGACCGCGACTGTCCCGTTTGCCACAGACTTAACGTGGAACGTCCCCGCTCTCCGTCCACATTAGTCTCGCCCCGTGTTGTGTTACAGTGCATGCTGGGAACTGCAGTGCATCTCAGGGTGAAACAGGCCAACAAAAACAGAAAATTAAATATTTTCGTGGGCCGAATGGGACTGGGTCACGGGCCCGCGGGCCTTGTGACTGACACCTGGAAGGTAGAGGACACTCCTGTCACTCACAGGTGCGCGCTGTCTACGCTACACTCGATTATTTCTTGATTGACAGCAGACCGATGCACTACATCCCCCGAGTCAAACACAAGGCAACGACGCAGCTTCGTGACGAGGTGCAGGCCGTTTTCTTTTTCGCTAGTCTTATTCCAGGTTCACTGGGTGAGCGAAGCTTCTTTTTATTGTAAGCCGGGCTTTTAATGGTCTGTTAAACTGACTCTAATACTTTGGTGTGAGATCTGGTGGTCCGACTCCAGTTCTCCAGCGAAGAGGCCCAACCTGCAGTCACTCCGGCCCCTTCTCCACTGGTCCGACCGCTAACAGGCTAATAGCGACACATACACCACCCACCACAGAACACACTTAATTCCGTGTGTCACTCCCCTGTCTCTCTCTCTGCTCCCATCTTTATCTTCTAAACGGGGGTTATATGAGCTGAACCTGAGCCCGTGTTGCGGTGGGATTCACCTGTAACCGGCTAGCTACATTAGCATCAGCGTCGCCCGGCGGGGTACCGGTAAAGCAGCACAGAAGACTTGTAGTTATTTTTATCTTTCTGTCACTTCAACAGTCATCCAGTCATTTGACGACTTTGTGCTCTCAGTTTCGAGTATTTGTCCTCTAAATGGGTGTTTTTAATCATCGGTTCAGAACCGAGCCCGTACTGCGTTGGGAGGCACCGTGCACTCGCGTTAGCTTAGCCTAGCAGGCTACAGGTTATAGCACTGCAGAACAGGCAGATTTCGGGTTTCTGTCACTCCAGCACTGAACAGTGGGCTTTGCTCTCGCTGTAATAAGTTTTCATCATCGATACTTGTGATATTAGAGCAGTTAGTCCAATCGAACCTGCACTGGGGTGTTTGGATCTCTTCAGCTAAGCTAAGTTAGCTAGGAGAGAGGAAGTGACCGACGGGAGGGGAAGGCGAGCTGAATTTGAGACCAGCCGGTCACGAAGCCCCACCTCCTACTCCTGCATCTACAGAGCCAGCCCCTTCACACATCTTCACGCTCTTTTCACTCTGAGTACACAACACAGCCGGTTAGGAATACATACGTGTTATTCCACTGGAACACCACGGCGGGGCGCTTCTCGAACACAAGTCCGCCTGAGCGGCCTGCAGTGCAAAGTCACCCCGTCTCTCGTGACTCATATCGATTCTATGTAGGTTTTGAACCGACGCAGAGCAGAAGAGTCTCTCGGGCTCAGGAGTGACTGACCAGCTCTGTCCTACATCCGGGAGCTCGAACAGAGCCGGTCGGTGAAGCTGGTGTGTTCTGGTGTCGGAGGAGCAGATCCGCTCTGCTTTAGTCTCCTCTGAGAGAAATAAATCCACAGCGTCCACAAACGAATAAACTCCAATAAACGAACAAACTCCAATAAACTCCCACAAATGAATAAACTCTCGCTCCTCCTCAGAGTGAGGCCCGGAGCCGAGGAGTCCGCCCAGGCGGTCTGCGTCGTTTTCCTCGACCCGAGCAGGGGTTCCGTCCACTACACCACAACACAGTCCTCTGTAGGACCCCATAGCCGAGTCTGCAGCGGGTCCAGCAGGAATAAAGACCGTATATCTGAGGTGGTCCAGTATGGAGAAGACACGCAGTGTTGCGTCAGACTCTCTAGGTTAACTGTGGAGGAAATGGCGCTCCTCGCTCTCTCTGTAGTTCCACAGTCGAACCGCAATGAAGGGCGTTTCCGTAAAACAAGAACGCCCACATCAGGAACGCCCACTTATCACTCATTGGCCGATATGTCTGCAAAATGGCTTCTCTCATTGGTGGATAAGACTCAACGGGGAAAATACACCAATACTTGTAAAGACGTTACTAACACTACATTAATATTGTTCCTACATGTTTACATAATGAGCATTTGGCCTTTAAAACAAATATGGGTGAATCTGTAGCCTCTGGTGGTTTGTAGAGCTCTGTCTGCGGTTTTGTGATCCCCGACTTAATCCCCTCAGTTACAGTTACAGAGTTTTACAGTTTTTACACAAAGACAGTCACCCATACATTAACCAGTAACAGGATCACCACACATCACAAGCCCCCAGACTAAATCCAGCACCATAGACCCCTTAAAAACCCAGCCCACCTTAAACACAGCGAAAGAGAGTGTTCACCTCCAACATGTACAGCACCCTGTCTTCTGTCCTGGTCTGCCACCTGAGCGCTCGCCTTGGTGTGTGTCTGTACACCTCCTACAGGGAGACTGAGTGAGTGAGCGAGTGAGTGGTTGAGCGAGTGGGTTTCTGTTTCTGTCACCAATGCCTTTAAAGCACTCTGGTGCGTGGAGTCACGCTGCCCGAGGGTGTTCAAGGGGGGCAAGAAATCCCACTGCATGGAGGACAGAGCACAGCTGGACTTTAATTATTGACGGTGCAAATACGGTCAGAGAAAAGTGGGAGAATTTCAAACACTCTTCAAAAGATGGTTCTACAAGGGTTCTTTAGTAAAGACAGCAGATCTGTACGGCACCTCGAACACTCGAAGAACCTTCTCTATCTAGCACCAAAAGCGTTCTTCCATTGTTATGATGTCAAGAGGTCACCTTTTTTGGTGCCATATAGGACCATATACAACACATTCTCCATCAGTCTGAACAAACATTTAAGCATAAAACAGCTCTGTATAGAGCTCATGGTTCTAAAGAGAACCAATCCCTTTACTTAAGGACCCTTAAAGAACAATCTATTTTAAGAGTGTACACTAGCAGAACCCTTTTTGGTGCTATATGGAACCATTCACTACACATCCTCCATCAACCTTAAGAACCATTTCACCATGCAAAGAATCTTTGGATCATGCAAAGTGTTCTTTGGATGTTAATGGTTCTATATGGAACTGTTGTCTTTACTAAAGAACCCATTCAATATTTAAAAAGCAAACTTATGAGTAGGAATGATGTGTCCTTTAGGGGGCAGAACAGGCCTAACTAACTAACCCAGATTGAAGGTGCAGCATCCTTCTTGTGGTTGGTTACCCCGGGGAAGGCTGTACACTGAGTGAGAGAAGAGTAAGAAACATATTCTGTCACTTACTTTTTATTTACTTCATTGAAAAATGCCAAGATCTCAATGAACATAATAAACAACACAAAAATACACGAAGTGGGTACAATTACAGACTCCGTCTGATTTGCAAACCATTTTTGCAGCTTTTCTATATGTTGAGTCATGTGCAGTATTAATATACAGTCTAATCTCAAGTACAGAAATCGTTAACAACGAGTTTACCTTATGAACGTAAAATGTTGCTAATATTATAATTCAGATCAGCATCGGTGATCACAGTCACTTTGGTCGGGTCTTAATTTACGCTGTGACTTTCTAAGTTTTATAACCTCAGTCAGCGTCTTTTACAATCCAGCATTCCAGCTGATTCACTGGGCTGAATTTGCACTGAAGCTGTTGTGCAAATATTTGTTTTATTATTTATTGCTCTTCTGGCTTGTTTTATTTTTACTTTAAGTCAAATTGTTACAGTACATGATGTGGTACGTGTAATTTCACCACAGTCTATGTATAATTAGCATTATTACACTTCCATACCGCTGCTGTCGGAACAAAACGCTGTATCTCCAAAATGGCAACTTTACAGGAGAAGAAACAAACCTACTTTACTTTTAATGTAAGTCAATGGAACCAGACTTTTTTCCTATACATTTCAAGCTGTTTCTTTTGGTCCATTCATCATGAAACTTGCATACAATGTAAAGAACGACAGACATTTTCAAATTATATCAAAAACTGTAAAATAATATTTGAGATGCGAGGTTTTGTTCCGACAGCAGGGATATTTTTTCATGAAATAGCTTTTTCTGAAATGGGATGATCAGGTGAGTTCTTGCCAGTGGGAGTTTTCAGTTTGTGTCAGTTGAGTCTTCGTGCTCTTGAGAGAGAAAGACACGCAGCAGGAAAGTTAGATGTGTCATACTGATCTACTGCTTGACTAATTTCTGTTACACCCACTGATTAGTGCCTGTACCTCACTAATCAGCAGAGTGAATCCATGCTGTGATGCAAATCTCTGTACTCTTCTTCACACACAAACTCTGTATAAATTCCTGGCAGCAGGACGGAGTGTGAGGTTTCACAGCAGGCTGTGTCAGTAAAGCATGTTACAGTCATAGCAATAAAACAGAAAGAAGTCTGTAAGAAATGAGATGAGCCAAAAATAAAAGAATCCACAGCTGCCAAACTGAGTGTCAGATTTATTGAACAACTCCTTCACAAAAAAAACATGAATGAAAGTAACAAGGCCGACCCAAAAGAAGTGACTGACAGGACAAAGAAAGTAAGTGGAACCAGTGCAAAAAGTTCAGGTTTCCACTGGGCCTGGACAGATCTGGCTTTTAGATCTACGAAGACGAGTAGTCACCTTCCCTGAGATAAGGTACGATATTAATGACCCACAGGACTTGGAATGGAGGTCAGAGAGAGAGAAAGTCCCTCGTTTGTTTGTGTGTCGTGTGTTACTTTGTTCCCTATTTGTCCTGTATCAGTGTTTTACTGTATGAGTTCAGATTTAAAAACACTAAAAGCTCATATTGAAACTCTTTTGGTCCAAAGATGGTTTAAACGCCAGGGCTGCGTTCAGCTCCAACAACACATAATGAAACATTGATTTAAATGGAAACACGCTGTTGTGTTTGGCAAGCGTTCAGCTATGACAACTGAGGAGGCCATTTTTGGTGTCCTTCTAGCTTATTCTATTAAAAAAAAAAAACCTTTACAATAAAATACTTAACACAAACACGGTTTGTATGAGCTACAATTCTTGTAAATCAGTGCAAACACAATTAATGCAGTACAGTTCAATGTTGTTTGAGCCAAATGAGCTTTCCAATCTAAATACATAAAAATAGATACATCAAAGTAAATCTGATCGGTATCAAATACAAAGCAGAGCTGCTAATATCAGCACCTCAATGTAAAATATATTTCATTAAAATGTGACTGTAGTATGTTTTTGATTGATCTGTGGATTAAAAAACGTCCAATAAATAACCAGTTTCAGCAGCTTTAATACAGATACACTGTTAATACAGTTTAATACAGTTATGCAGTTAAGACAGTTTAATACAGTTATTACAGTTAATACAGTTTAATACGATTATACAGTTAAACAGTTAATACAGTTTAATAGTTATGCAGTTAATACAGTTTAATATAGTTATACAGTTATTACAGTTAATACAATTATGCATTTAATAGTTTAATACAGTTAATACAATTTTATAGTTATGCAGTTAATACAGTTTAATACAGTTAAACAGTTAATACAGTTTAATAGTTATGCAGTTAATACAGTTTAATATAGTTATACAGTTATTACAGTTAATACAGTTATGCATTTAATACAGTTAATACAATTTAATACAGTTATACAGTTAATACGGTTTAATACAATTATGCAGTTCATACAGTTAAACAGTTATTACAGTTTAATACAGTTCGTACAGTTTAATAGTTACGCAGTTCATACAGTTTAATACAGTTAGGCATTAAGTCCATCACTGTAGTGAATTATGAGCTAAGCAAACTAATTATCCTCTATGTAAATCTTAGAAACTACATTAACATTTGTATCAAGCTTATGAACAGAACAAAACATAAGTTTCAAGATTTATAAAAGTATGAATGACAACAAACATAAGTTTTATTTTCAATTATTGATCGCTTTTTCAATCTTAAATTAACCAATGATCTCACTGAGACTTCACCATAAAAAAGTGTAATGTTTTCGCTTATTCATTTTTTTTTAAAACAAAATTGACGAATATTAGGACACATTGCAATTCAAAAAGAACCAATGGCTTCTATCTGTTTTCAGTATTAGAGGGTGGGGAAGCCCCTTAGGTAACCATTTGTAACCCTGAAAGCCTGCTTGCCACCCTCATTAAGCAGAGGATTATAATAGTGAAACCACAGGGTTTTTTTTTTTAGCACTGACTGGAATGTGGTGTCACTATTATAGTCCTCCGCCAAATATGACAGGTTACAAAGAGTGCTGGGGTGCGTGTGTGTGTCATGGACAGTGACTCTTATGTGTGATTCTGGTCAGAAAATCAGTGGTTTTTGTTTGCAGATACATGTTTGATGCATTTTATCTAGCTATGTTATGTGGTCACATTCAAAATTGTCCATTAATGTTCCATAATACCAGTAAGACTTAGGTTTTCAGCCCACAAAGGAACAAAGACACCCCTGATTACAAGGGGGTATTTCGCACACTGCACCCACCCTGTTATAGATCTAATTACTCAACAGATTAAAAACTCACAAACACCAAATGAAACGGTTTACTTCATGAGAAGTAAATCAGAGAATCTGGTAAGAATTTGGTGGGAATCGTTTAGCACTGGAAGAACCAGGCTGGGCTATCAGTGCTGGTCTGGTAGTAAGTACCCAGGCAGGGGAGGCCACAGTGCAAGCAGGGTGACTTCATACTAAAGTGATGTCCATGACAGTAAAGGAGAGGAATGAGAGGAACAGAAGGACGTCTTAACTAACCGGACATCAGTTCGTGCTCACAGAGTTGGTCACTGTAGCTGTCCTGATTCAGCAGTGCTGAAACCTTGACATACGACAGTGTTCTCAGATTTTAAGTCATTCTATCCCCCAGTTACACAGCGAGTTTGGAGGCGCTGCCTCAGTTCCCGGCCAGGCGAGTCCATTACTTGTGTTTATATGCTGTTAGACATGCTTTCAGTGGTCAGGACGAATGAGACTCGGTTTCAGGCAGCTTTAACACAGGATGGGCAGGTGTTCAGCAAAGAAACACAGAGAGGAAGTTCTGTTAGGAGTGACTGAGAACAGCACTGGGTTTAAAATCAGTTAAATGTCGCCCTCTAGTGGCAGTACATTGATACTGCGGCGTTTAGGTGGGGCGAATAATGGAGTAACTCAGAGTAAAGCTCCGCGGTTGGTTGTTGAGAAGTTAGTTGTGGTTTCTGTGACGCAGATTCGGCGCTCCTGCTGGCTGGTTGTAAACAGAATTATGTTGCTGATATTTTTTTAAATCTATTTTGCATTAAATACATGAATTTGTAAAATAATCCAGAGCAGTTAAACTGGCTCTGAGTTTAATCCACAGCCTGTCCTGTAATCCTTTCTCCTTAAGATTTAATACGAACTGTCAAGTGGACGTGCATTAGTGTGAATACTGAAAGGACTTATTCTACCAGCGCTCTGTTCTTTTATCTCCACCCAATCTAAAGCTGATCTTCGCTCCTTTTCAGTCTGAGCTTCATGTTTGGGCCAGTAAACGTCAGAGATGCTGATATTGCCAGTTATTGTAATGTATTAAATCAGGCTAAAACCAGGTTTCCTCTACAGCGTTTTTCTGTGTTTGGAATTGTCCATTTCCTCATTGTGCTATATTGCAGTTTCGTCTGAGATCAGAAAAAACTATTCAGTTTAATCACATTAAATTTAGATTTAGATCAGCTTTAAATCCGATCTATAAACTCACCCTTATTTTAATCTTCACTCCCTCACAGTGGTGGACACAGCACACATTCCTAACTGCTCCATCAGTCTCTCTCCATCAGAGGGTGGTGCGGACAGCACAGTCCATCACCGGGGTTCAGCTCCCTAACCTACTGGATTTATACACCAGTCGCTGCCTGAGGAAATCCAGAAGGATTATGAAGGACCCCTCCCATCCTAGTCACTGTCTGTTCTCTCAGCTGCCGAGTGGTAGGAGGCTCAGAAGCTTAAAAGCCAGAACCAGTCGGCTCAAAGACAGCTTCTTCCCCCATGCAACCAGGCTATTGAACAGCCAGTAATCACTGCTCTGCCCAGCCCAACCCTTCCCATTACACGTACGTGCACCCACTGTACTCCCGCACTTTACTTGCATAGCTGGACTTTGAATACCTATCCAAAGACAATACTCTCCCCCTGCGCTTCCACTTAACTTCCTGTACCTTGCACTTTACTAAATACTCTGCCACCTACTGTACCATCTTCTACCTCCACACCTAGTGTGATTATTTGCACATCTACATAGCATTGTAATATCCATTACTATATATAGTATATAGTTGATTACACTCACTCTACATTCCCAGTGCAATATTATATGTCTCGGTGCAATATTATTATTTTTAAGTTATTGTGTAAGATTATATGTATATATTTTAGTTAAATTGGTTTTATCTATTCTTCTATCCTATCTATAGTTTTGTTTATCTATGTGTAAATACTGTTCTCTGCATAATTTGTGGAACTCGCACTCAAGTTTTTCACTCACCTGTGTCCCTGTACTCTTGTGATGTGACAATAAATCTGATTTGATTTGACACTTTAAACCACCGGCAATGAAATGAACACTGGAAATGAACTGAAGGAACATCACATATTTACAGAATGAAATATTTCATTCCTTTATAGTCATAATCTCCATGTTCACAGTGGTGGACACAGCACACATTCCTAACTGCTCCATCAGTCTCTCTCCATCAGTGAGTCAGTCTCTCTGAGTCTGTTCAAGGTGGAAACCATGCAGAATGGAGCACTTTTTAACCGTGTGCAGACTGCTGTGTGGTAGAACAGTAATCAGCGGTGTTTGTGGGCTACACTACACTGTTGTATTACTGTTTACAGTCACTGTAAGAAGAACATCTGAGGTGTTTATATTCTGGAAAACAGCGGTTCAAAATGAGAGTGATGTTTTTAGGTTCTTCAAATCGATATATGTAGAGTAAAAGAGGATGACCTCCGCTCTCCAGCAAAACACAGCAAATCCCGTGCCTCTCACATCATTCGCTGAAAGAGAAACTGCGAATGAGGAGCTAACTTCAGCCTCGTAGTCCCCCCTGTTTTTGGACCATTAGAAGAGGAAGTGCCCGTAGGGTTTATCGCTGTGGTGAACAAAGACTTTTTCCCGCCGTTGTGCTGGTTTTCCTCCTCAGTGGACCCACAGCCGCACAGTGAGTACAGTAACCGCCCTACGTTACGTTACTGAATGAGCTGTCTGACCCACAGCCGGAAAGTGAGTAATCGCCCTTATTCACGTTCCTCAATGAGCTGTCTGACCCACCCGTGGCTGCTTCAGACAGCTTTAGCTTTAGCTAGCTAGCTACGCTAGCCCAGCCCCTCTGCGCAGTAAACCTCCTGCTCTGGACAGTTTCTGAAACTTCTGTCTGTAAACAACACAAATGGTACAATAATGAGTCCTGAACTAGGAGAAGAGCCACATTTCAGCAGAGAGCAGCCGTAGATTACTGACTGCTGCCCAAATGCTCAAACTCAGCGTGTGGGGCCACCTTGAATAAAGGAGTGACCAGAGAGATGTAAATATGTGTTAGTCTGCATTTAGGTCACAGCACATGATATTCCTTATGTGTGACCACCATTTAAAGTATTAGGTATAACTCCTGCCTTTTGCACAGGCTTACAACCCAAACCATGTCAGAAAGTGTTGCATTTATTTTTAATCTCCCTGTTTTGTTATGCAAAATTCCCAGTATCTAAACACAGCTCAGGTAACTCCACTTAATAAGGGGTTGATCTTTATTATAGGCCGAGTCTGGAAATTCATCTCTGAAGTAATGTACTTTAATTTTTATAAATTAATTTTATAGATATATTTACATACAAAACTCCCAAAAATAATTTGCATGTAAACAAAATGCAGTTCATTCTGTGATTTGTTCCAGACCATGGCTCACCCACTGAGAGCATGCTTTCATACTGCATGCAACTTCATGTCATATTTCTCTTTTCAAATGCCATTTAACATTTTTTATGATTATAATAAGTTTTAAAACCTACTTTGTTCATTTGCATGTATAGTCTGTGTGTGTTTTTATGCATAGACCAACTGTCAGTGTGAACAGACAAGCGTCCCTGGCAGAAATCACATCCACACTCACTGCAGGAGGCCCCACATGCACATCCCACAGGTCAGTGCAGCTTCTTTAGCTTCCATGGGATACGGGAGCAGAAGACCCTCCTGAGTGACTCTTTTAACACCACGACACTGGAGCCTCACCTGGGCTTGTGAGGTTGCTAACTGGACCTTTGGCACATGTTGCCAGACCTCTTAGTCCAATGAGTCGCTTTACCAGTTGTTTTGGGCTGATGGTTGGGTTCATGTGTGGTGCAGATCCCATGAAGCCGTGGACCCCCGTTGTCAATAAGGCACTGTGCAGGCTGGTGGTGGTTCCGTACTGGTGTGGGGTGTGTTGGGTCCACTGGCTCGCCTGAACACGCCACTGACTGTTTCAGAGCTCGCTGACTATTTGCAGCCCTTCATGGACTTCTTGTACCCTCACAGTGATGAGATGTTCCAGCAGGGTAATGCACTGTGCCAAAGGCCCAAGTTGTCCAGACCTGGTTTGAGGAGCATTCTGGTGAATTATGCGGCATGCACGTTTGTCCCAGTCGAGCGTTTACGGGATGTGGTGCAGAGGAACATTCACACCAGAGATCCTGCACCACAGAGCTGTGGGCGGCTGTCCAGACGGCACGGCTCAACATCCCTCCAGACGTCTTCTGTCCACTTATGGAATCACTGGGCTAGAAGAGGTCCTGCACAATGCTAGTTCCTGTCCCATGACTTTTGGCATGTCAGTGATAGGTCATGTTATCCAAAATTGTTCAGAAACACATAAAACCAGCATGAACGCAAGGATTACATTAGTGCAGATAGTGGTGTTGGACGCTCTTATTTGTCATTAACCTGTATGTGTCAGTAACTGCTGTTCATTAAGCAGTGCTGCGTAACATTCGTTTCTAGAAGCTACAGCTTTATAACCTCTGACGCTTCTTTGCAAGTTGATGCTAGCTTGCTGGCTATGCTAACTATCCTACACACACATTTTGATTGCTAATACACTAGCATTAGGCTTTGCTGTAGCAGAATTCATATACTGTGCTAACTGTGTATAAAACATGGTGATAAATGGTGAGACTAGGATGGTTGGATGGTGTTGCTGTTCTTCACCTCTGTTCTGAACTGTCTTTATCTTTTTCTGTACTGTATCTAATTTAGCTAGAAATCCTCTGAGCTGAGCTGATGTTCAGATGGACCGACTTCTGATAGAGAGACGCGTCTGCAAGGTCCACGCTGGTCAGGAGATCCAGACCTGAACTCATCCCTGAAATGTAATGTAAGCGGAACCGTTATGCACCCTGTGTATCGTCTTTACAGTGTATATGTCTGTAGTTTATGAGCTACTTAGACTACAGGATCGTATTTGACAGCTTGTGTCTGAAGTGATCCGAGATGAATATTATGACTTATTTTGTTACCATTGATTTCTGAAGTGACTGGGCCAAGTCAAGTCACATCCTGCCAATGTCATTGGGCCAAACCAAGGTACACTATAAGGCCAGTATGTGGAACCCCCTTAATTATCGAGTTCATCCAGTTCTTAGTTTATCGAGATGTTAAACAGCCAATCATGTTGTTCGTTGGTAACTGTTAGCAGCACAAGACGTCTAAATGTCTTACAGATATTTGAATGGTTTGTAACTTTTCACTCGCTCTGCACAGTCATGTGTTTTACACATTTATTCACAGAATGTGGAATGTTTTAAGTGTGTTTTGAGTCTAAATACAGGGAAACATCACTATTATGGCTTGTTGTAATCAACTATATGATACAGATTAAAATGAGATCAAAATAAACACACTGTTTTAGGGCACTGGAAGCACTTTTTGTATTTTTATCTTCTTCTTTTCTTTCTGGTGTGTTGTGTGTGTGTCTGTAGGTCAGTCATGCCGTCCTGCAGTTCTGCTCTCTGTTTCCTGATCTTACTGACCACTACATTCACTTCTGGTAATCACTGCACCATCACTGCTTTGTTGCGGTCAGTTTTTTATTTTATTTTCTGTTAGTCATCGTTTTATCACATTCTTACAGAATGAAGCAAACCAAAAACAACCCCCTTTCCCTCCATATCCCACAGCTCCACCCATCTCCTCTGTCTGTATGTCACATTGCTGACAGTACATTAAATATGATACTTATGAATAAAACGAGATAAAACTTGTCTTAACTTAAACAATGTACTTCAAACTATTTGCTCCAATGTTTTTGCATCAAAATAATCCTGTCTCCATGTCTCGAGAGTAGATACTTGAGCTTCACTGATTCTAGCTGTGGCCAATTCTAACATTACTGCGTCATGTTAAATGATGTGGGGGAGCCTCCTTTGTGCAATGCCTTTTTAGCCTACGCTAAACCAGTGAGTCATGTCTTTATTCTCCTGTTAGGGCCAAATCTGAGTCATCATTAAGGAGTTATCTAGCTGGGTAGACCTTCTTGCATACGGTGAGGGAATGTGAGGTTCCTGCTTGTTGTTGTGGTCGATGATTGCAGTAAGGATTTAAAGTACTGTCACAAGTTATAGTGGACACATTTCTGAGATGTCCAGTATAACCTGTGACAGTACTGAAATGGATCAGTTGGTGTTTTGGGGTTTGGAATATATTTCCCACACAGTTCCATATCAACTGTATTGACAGATTGAATTGGGAGTTACTTATATAATCTTTTAATGAGGTGAGAATTCATGACTGATACAAGACCTCTGGTGGTGCATTAATGATCCAGCTGTAAACCAGATGTGCTTTGATGTTTGTTCCCCATAGAACTCCATACGCTTTAAGGTCTGACTGAGAAAAGCTGATTTTGGGATACTGAAGTGTTTTAATATCCTGTCTTACGAGGTTTGTAATGCTGTTCGTCATAGAAATTATGAATCGTGATAGAACCAAAGTTTATCCAACATATATTTCATAGACATCCCAGAAAACAATACATCTGAAGTCTGATCGACCCAGTTAATTTGCCCCCAAGGAGTCAGTCTGTATGGGTCAAACCTGACCTTTAACACCCAGAGCTGGAAAGCTTTACAAAATAACACACTCTACCATGTTTTCATGATATTATTACAGACCTTTTTACTTTTGATTTATAAACCAGATTTTTAAGAAATTATTTTCAATTTGAAAACATGTTAAACTTGAACTCCTAATATTCTCTGGAATTCTACTCCTGAGTTTAGTGTAATTTTATTTATTATGCATACTGTAAATTGACTGTGTACTTGTAAATATGAACATGCATAAACAAAGTAATAAAATGGAATTAATAGTGATAATACTTAGAAATGTCTGTGGTAAGAAGTGATTGACTTTCCTCTTGACAAACCATCTTAAATTCTCCAAGGTTACGAGGGTCCCCCTGTTTCAACATCCTGCATCCTTTTTGGAAACCAGCCTTGAGTTGTTTTGTATATTTGGGGTCACTGTCTTGTGGAAATGTCCATCTTCTCATCACATTCAGTTTCTTGAATGATGAGCTTAAATTCTCCTCTAATTCCTCCTGCTACGTCCCTCCATTCATGATTCCTGTGATGGAGTGTAATGCTTCAGTACCGTTAGCAGATAAGCAGCTTTATATGATGATGCTCCCACCTTCATACTTCACTGTGGGTGTTCCTGAGATCATACGCTCAACCCTTCTTCCTCCAAACACGAGCTGAATTATTAACAGAGTTCTATTTTTGTTTCTTCTGATCATAAAAAGTTTTAAAAGTTCCATAACTTTGTTTCTGATTTGTCTAAATGCTCATGTGAAAATTTCAGATGCGCATCTCTGTGATTCTTTATCAGCAGAGGTGTTGTGTGTGTGAGGTGTAGACTTTCTGTAAAGGTCTGAATTTTAAACCTGTTTCTGAATATTACTGAACCAGCCAGTTAGCCTTTTAGCCACCTGCTGACCTCATCTAGTTATGGAGAACATGAAGTGTAAATGAAGCTAAACAGAGCCTGTTTAGTTTATTCAGTTTAGATCCACAGAGACAATCAACAGTTCTGTAAATGTACCAGTTTAGCCATTTTGAAATGTAGTGCCTGGACCCCTGTTACCAACCAGTGATGCTCAACTGGTGATTCTTAATTTGGTTGAGTTTTATAAACATTAATTTCAGAAATTTTTAACTTTCAACAAGTCATTTAATTTCTGTTAACTTGAAGAATTAGGTATTTGATTTTATAATCAAACAGACTCTTTATGTTTCTTTTATATGTTTCAGTGTCTGTATCAGCTGATCTTCCAGTGAAGGTGAAGCTTCATGACTCTGCTACTCTGCCCTGCTATGAGAGATGCTCTGGTTTAGCAAGATGGACTGTGTTTCACAAACGCAGTGACACTCTGGCTGAGTGTGATCAGACTTCATGCAGATCAGTGAAGGAGGGATATCAGATGATCCGTGATCAGTACCTGAAGGGGAATCTCTCTCTCATCATCACTGAAGCTGATTTCAGTAAGAGAGGCTGGTACACGTGTGACTGCGCCAGCAAGGACGTCTGTGATGTTCATCTACAGATTGAGCGTAAGTGTCCATCTGTTTTCTTCACTGATAGAACAGATTTACATTGTTTGACATTACAGATCAGATCTGCACAGAATTAAGGATGTTTCTGATTGTTCTTCTCTCAGCCTTGAACACTACAGTTGAGATAATGGCCGGTGAATCTCTGATCCTGAGGCTGGATGTATCAGATGCAGTGGAGGTGATTTATAACAGCACAGGCACACCTGGACCATCCAGTGGTCAGATCTGTACAGTGGATGGACCCTCACTACAGTGTAAACCTGAATACACACAGAGATCATCACTTACATCTGGTCTTGAGTTGAGAAGAATGACTCCATCTGAGAGTGGAGTTTACATTATTATGGACAGCAGGAACAAAGAGGTCATTCACACCTACACAGTGACCGTCCAAGGTATGATTTTAGTGTTTTTCTTTCTCCAAAGTGCTTTTAGTGTTTTAACAGCATTCGCCATGTTTTACCAGGCACTGTTTCTGTACTGATGTGCTGGTGGTGAACTGAACTGAATTAAGCTGGCAGTTTACTTAAAACAATGATACAATTAAACTGAACTACCATCAGGCATGTGGAGATCTCAGAACTAAGGAGCTGTGATTAGGACCAATCACAGTCAGGGGGAGGTCTCAGAATAATGGCGGTGGTGATCAGGACCAATCACAGTCAGGGGGAGGTCTCCACAAATTTTCTCTTTGTAATTAAGCTTCATATTAGTTCTATCAGTCTGATCTTTCATGTAGAACCTGAAGACTTTCCTAAAGAGTGTTGATCACATTTATCTCCTCTGTTCTATCTGGTACTTTAGATGTACAGCAGAGCTCGATATGGAAGGACGGCTATCAGAAAGGAAACAGTGATGGGTATCAGAAGGGAAGTGAAGATGGATACCGTAACGGATTGGGAATCGGAGCAGTGGTTTTTGGGATCATGGCTCTGGCTCTTGGTGTAATTCTGGGAATGTTCGGTGGGCCACGGGTGCGTCCTCTGATGGGCAGATGTGTCCAGCGGTTCAGAAGAGAAGATTCCTCAGACAGAAGAAGAGATGATCCCTCAGGTGGGCTACAAGCTGAAGACGTGGAAAGTGGTGTTGCCCTGGCCAGAGCTGCCCAGCCAGAGCTCGAGTCACAAATCTGATGACTTCAGACTTGACTCCAGAAAACTGAGAAAGACTTGTGACTCGACTTTGACTTCAACACCAGTGACTCTGACTTGGACTCGGACTTCAGCCTTAAGACTCTGAAAGACTTGAGAAAGTAGAAGAAACGTGGAGAGTCTGACTGCAGACGGCTTTTCTATTAAATCAGTTCTGTTTAATATATATGTGAACTTTGTAGTTCTGCAATTGCAAATTGTAGCTGATCTTTTTCTCTGCACACTTTTTTAGCCCCCTTTCACATCATTGGTCAATGATCAGGACCCGCCCAGACCACCACAAAGCAGGTATTATTGGTTAATTCTCAGCACCGCAGAGACGCTGACATAGTAAATGTGGTACTAGTGTATCAGATACAGCAATGCTTTAATCACCTCACAAGCGGCACTAACACACCAACACCACATCAGTGTTACTGCAGTGCTGAGAATGTATATGAATAATACCTGCTCTGTGGTGGCCCTGTTAAAATGGAAAGGCGGCGCACTGTATACAGATAAACAGATGGACTCCAGTCTGTAAGTCAGGAGTGCTGTAAAAATAGCCAGTGAGCATATATGTAGAGTACGTTTGGGAGAGAGAACATCTGAATCCTACCTGTTAAAAAGCAATACAAGAAAGAGCAGGTTACTGTGAATAACTGTCTTTTACAATAGCATAACCTTTAAAGTTCTGTTTTCATACAACAGTTTTGCAAAGTAAAGAAAAAAACAAAGCAGGTAAGTCAAATACATGTTAAAATACATAATACTGACACTGTCTTGTGTTAAAAGAAGCACTAAAATATTTAGTGTAATATGTACTAATGTTACAAAGAGCAACACCATAAACATACTATAAATGAAAGTACCTGGAACAATTCCTGATCAGTTGAGAACCAGAAGCAGCAGTGGATGGAAGGATGGCTGTAAAAGATAAAACATTTGGTAAAGGTTTAAAAGACTAGCTTCAACAACTGAAACAGATACAGGCACATTTATGTTGGCTAACTGCATTTGTATAAGCATTCCAGCCTCTCGAATCTAGTAAACATGCTGCTTTTATAGCTTAGAGATATTTTTCTGGCTTATTCTGGAGTTGGTCATCAGCGAGACCAAGCTAACAGCTCCACACAGCACAGACCGTAGTTAGCTAACATAGGTGAGCTAGCTCGTTTCTGCGTTTCTGTCATTCAAACACCCGTCAGTCTCTCAACGTCTCCCGTTCAGATTTGAGCCCATCATGGTCAGCACCGGTCAGCCGGAGTGAACCGGTCGTCCAGCAGAGCCATTAACTTAGCCTAAGCTCACGCATACGTAGCTAAGCTAGCTAGGTTATTACAGTGTACAGACAGGTCTATTATACCACAAATTCAACACCGTCTTACTTTAAAACTGTAATTTAGTTAAAAAGGCGCCGCTCATATTTTGTGAGAGCAAACAGTCACTAAAAGAGGAGGCGAGCTAGCGAGCTATCGCTAGCTAGCTAACTCAATTGTTAGCACGTGATGTTTATTTTTGTTTTGACAGATGAAGAGTTCAACATTCACAAACTACAGAATTAGGTTTGAATGAATATCCGATTGAAAAGCTGCTGCTGCGTCAAATAAACCTATAATTTATTCACCAAATTCATTTTAAATCCTGTCGAAGTTTGCAGAAGCGGCAGTTATCGTCTCCGCGGTGAAGCGATGGTGACGACTCGGAGCTCAATACGGGTGGGATCTGCTCTCCTCAATACGGCTGTGATCTGCTCTCCTCAATACGGGTGGGATCTTCCCATATGTCTTTTGCCGACACATCAGAGAGACTCGCCAGGCCAGGCTTCTATGCTAATCAAAACTACAGTGCAGTCGCTAACTGCTAGCTTACATTTGACTTACAGCACAGGAAGTTTGACATGTTTGGTAGCTGCAGTAACTTAAAAGAATGGGCAACTGCCACAGCAACATACTTGTTTGCTAGCAATAATTAAAAAGGTCTTATCTTTGGCAAGTTGGAGGACTGACCCCCTGAAACGTGTAGTCACGGATGTCCATGAGGCACAGAATGCGTTGGGCGAAAGTGTGAGGTGATTAAAACCAATGACCTCCCAATGAGTAAAATCTATCGATTTTCTGCATCGTTGTTGTTCCTGATAAAACATGAGTAAATTCTACTCAGCTTATCATAGCTAATTTTATTCAACCGAACCTGCGTAAAATGTAATTAATAAAACATTCAAACTTATTGGATTCAGCTCAGTTTGATTTCTAACTGAACATAGTCTTTTTATTAAGTAGAGGTTACTATTAGTTATCTAGTAAATATTAATTAACCCCAGTCCCACTTTTTACAGTGTGTAGTGTTGAAACAATGCAGGTTGGGTCCATGGATTTGTGCTGTTTATAGGCCACATTCTGATTATCTACATGTCGAAGCTGAAATGTAGATTCATCAGACCAGGCCACACTTTTCCAGTCTGTCCAGTTTTAGTGAGCTTGTTCTCACTGTTGCCTCTTGGCAAAGAGGAGCAGAACCTCATGTGGTGTCTGCTGTTGTAGCCCATCCACCTCACGGTTGGACGTGTTATATGTTGAGAGATTCTTTACTGATCACCCCTGTTGTTCATAGTGGTTATTCAAGTTACTCTCGGCTAGAACAAGTCTGGCCATTCTCCACTGACCTCTCTCATCAACAAGCTGTTTCTGCCCACAAGACTCACTCAGAAGTCTCTTGTTCCCCATGCTGATATTTGATGTAAATTCATTTATTTATAAACTAGTCTTAATGTAAATGTTAATGTAAATCTAGTTCTGTGAACTAGTTCTAGAGTTCTGTGCCTTGTTTAAGCTCTGTTGTGAGACTAAAAGGACTCAGCGAAACTAACAAAGTGCCTCAGAGAAACTCTATCGTGACTGCACTGCCATAAAAAAACACAAAAAAATGATATAGTATATAGTGCCACAGTATTTTCTGAGCATTTATATACACAAAAAGCAAATAAAAATCTTCAGTTGATATGTTTTATCAGCAAGTGTGCTTGTCTTCATTGCATTGGAACCCTGAATGTGTTTCAGTCTGATTATTTTGAAATGACTGACTGTATAAAGTTGAATAAAACTATGTAATAAAACTCTAAAATCTGATTTTCTTGTTTCACTGTTTAGAGCTGGAGATTCATTGAAGAAAACACTGACAAAGTCATTCAAGTTTTCCTACTCACTGTAATTAACAGGTCAGTGGGGGATGTTTCAGTATTTCAAGTAACCATTTAAAACACACGAGAAGACCCTGAAATTAGAGGAGGAATCAGTAAATATAGACCTCATCATTCAGGCCTTTACTTTAATATGCTACCTTGGCCTTATTCTGTGTATGTGTTCTATACTAGCTGTAAACAGCTACTTCATCATGTGTTTGTAACTATGTTATATTTCCTTCATTCGTCTGTGTGGAGGAGGTCTTCATGAACAAAAGAACAAACAAAAAGTTAAAGAAAACAAAAATCTGCTGTTTATTTGTGGTAAATTATAATCGTGTGCTCTGCAAATCCATAATTCTATTTTGAGGCACTTAGATTTTTATTACTGAGCACTGCACACTGTCAATACCTTAAGGTCACTTAGTTATACCGGCTTTTCTGTCATTTATAGCGTTATACTGCCACCTTTTGGACATTCACAAACACAGCATTCCAGAAGAAAGAGTCTCTGTCAGTCCTGACTCAAACAGCTAACTCTGTTTTTACTGTTCAGTGATTGTTCATTTAAATCTCTCAGTATTCATATACATATACATTCTGCTGGTCCTGCACAGGACACAGATGAGGCACTGCTATGCATATGTTCACCATGGACACCACTGACTGTAATTGCTGGTGCTGAGCAATATTGATCAAATATAATATAATGACATTCTCCAGACATATCACGTTATACAACAGTTAGTTCGGCCACGCAAGCCGACTCAGACAGCTGTAGGAGACGCTCAAGCCATTTGAATGTTTTTACTTCTTACTTTGCCACAAACAGAAAATGGACGCTTTTACATTTGACCGACAGCCGATTTGGTCAGACTCTGAAGATGAGACAACACTAAATTCCCAAACTTTCATCACCACTGAGCAGCTTTTCAGTCGGCAGCTGAGACAGAAGAACAGCTCCCTGACTCCCTGACTACTGTTCTTATTCTCAGAAGAAGGAGGAGGAATCAAGCAAAGGAAGAAAGGGAGGAATGGAGAGAATGAGTGATACTAGTGATAGACGATTTACAACAGCTGAGAAGCTCAGGGGTGTAAAGTCAAAGTGTTACAGTGATGAAAGGGTGAAACGGCCACTGTTCAACGACGGAGAAGTTTGATTGTATTTTATATTTTATATTTTATATCTTTAGAAGACGCACCATCTCAGCCTAAAGCACAGTGAGTACTCAAACAGCCAGATTACGTTTGTTTACATGTGTGTTTCAGTTTATGGTCTCTCTCTCTCTCTCTGTCTCTCTCTCTCTGTTTCTCTCTCTCTGTTTCTCTCTCTGTCTCTCTCTCTCTGTTTCTCTCTCTCTGTCTCTCTCTCTCTGTTTCTCTGTCTCTCTCTTGTCTCTCTCTCTCTGTCTCTCTCTCTTAGACAGATGTTGGTTATCTTTATCTGTGTGCTGTCGGGTTAAAACATCTCTTACCTTGTTTCAGGGTTTAGTTTCATATCTGGGAGTTTCCACAGTTTGTGATAAATATAATATAAGCTGATTCAGATCTGGGGACGGTCACAGCACTGCGTTTCTCTCAGTTACTCAGAGACTATGTGGACCAGTTTAACCACATTTATATATATTAAACTTACATCTGTCTGCTGATTAGGCATACCCATTTACAGATGATGACACACACATCATTCACAATATTTATCTGGATAAAAGAAGTCAGATGTTGCAACTGACCCCAATCCTGAGGACATTTTCAACATAGATCATGGACTGTTGTGAAAAAAACATTAAATATAATAATAAAATATAAAGTGAAAATAAGCATAGCGTTCTGAAAATATGGCTTGTTCTACAATAATACCACAGTACTGTTTATTTGTACAGTAATGTTATAGCATTATTTATTGATGTAGTAAGATTTTTAACTGCCCTGACTATCTTGCTCTCAACCCTGATGATTTTGGAGGCTCATTTTGGCATGATTTTGGTGGCCACACACACACACACACACACACACACACACACACACACTAACTCAGCATGTGGAGTATGAGTATCATCACTCTAGCATGTTTCAGATGGGAGGAATAAGACTTGTTGCAACTCCTCTCGTTTTGCAACTGTTCCCAGAGTGTGTAATCACAGTTTCCAGAGTGAAGGTTATGAGAACAATGTGGTGCTCTAGTAGAACTTGTAGGGCAGCGGTTTCCAAACTGGGATAGGTCAAATTAGGAGGCCATTATGATTCAGTTTTAAAAAGCTGTGGCCACAAATTAATATACTGAGGCCACAAAACTGTGTGTTGTATATATATGTTAATTCATGGTTTCAAGGTCAAATTGACGTTTGATTTTCACACGTCATTTTATTCTCTCACACCAGGGGAGCACAAAGTTTTGTATACAACTGTATTTCAGATGTTTTAAAAAAGAAGGCCGTAGAAATCCTCTGGGTGATTCCTGTTTACTTTAGTTTGAAAATCTGTAAATCAGTAAATCATTCAGTCAGTCTCACGTTACTCTTTAATGATTATTATTTTAAGTGCAGTGAAGGTGGAATAAATTTCTTTTTTTATCTAACAATTTCTTTTTATCTAACAACAAGTATTAGCGATGATTTCATTGCAAAATGTGGAATATACTGTGAAAGTGTGGCCTTGATCACTAGTGGGAACAGCCACTATATGCTAAAGGGGTCCCAGCTTCTACCCTGGAACGATAAAATAGCCATTTATGTGTAAGACAGTTAACAACTCTTGACTGCAAAAAAAAAAGTTGGAAGTGGCCATTTAAAAACGCAGTTTAAACTATGGCTTAAAAAAAGAAGTGAACTCACTCCAAATTGTGACTCACCAACTTGGGATAAGAAGCCAACCTACTTAGACAGGACGCTGTTAATTCAAAACAAGCTTTAAGCACAACCGGCTGGGGCAGCTATAGTCTCACTAATCAGTCTAAAAACTAAAGAACAAGCAAACAAGGGGGAACCACTAAAAGGAGACACTAATGAGAAAAGCTAAGGAGGTAAAAACAGAGACCATCATCACCACCAGCAGCACTGCTCAATCTGTTGATGCCGCACACACAGCTCCTACGTCATATCGTTATTTAAATAGCACCTTTCTTACAAGAGCACACGTCAAAGTGCTTTACAGGGTGTTAAAATAGAGTAACATTCAGAATAAATACGAAAATTAATTTGAATATGAATGTGCATTGTGTATGTGCACAGCAGCGTCCATGCATATATGAAATATAGATACATATGTTTATGAAATGATAGATTTATACAACCATATTAACTCATAAGCAGTAGTAAAAATAAACATCACAATAAAAGAAGCAAATAAAACAACAGAAGAACAACTAGTGCAGATATTAAATGATCTTTCAAATGTCTTTTATAGGATTTTAAAGAAGAACAATTTTTGCCAAATGCGAAAGCCTATTCCATATTTAGTGCCCCTAAATCTAATAAAATTGACCTCTACAAGTGAGAAATTTAGGAGGATGAAGACCTGAAGACTGACGAGTTGAATAAGGATGAACATCTGAATTTACTGTGAAATAATTTTTAAACTGCTCTAGAATGTTCTCTTCACTTGAATATATCTTATAAATAAAACACCTATTTGAAAAATATTGATATCATACATTGTAAGAATTTGAAGTTTCTATAATAAAGGAGCAGATGACGTATAGAAATCTGATTGGGTTGCAATCCTAACAAAACATTTCTGAAGGACCCAAATTTTATGATGAGTGGTGGAGAAAGTACTTGCCCACACTATATTACAATATGAAAGATAAATATAAGATATATTACTATAATAAAGAGTAAGAAGACAATTTATGTTAACCAGATGACCAACCTTCCTTATATTATTATACCAATAGATTCATTTATTTTCCCATCAAAAATTTTGTAGTTGACATTTGAGGCATCTCAACAGATTCAATTCTAATTTTATATAAATTCTTAGAGTATAATTTTTTACCACTAAAAATGATGAAATTAGACTTTTTTATATTTAAAGAAAGTTTATTTAATCTAAACCATGTAGTATAAGCATTTAAACCAACATTAACATTCTTAATCAATGTGTTGAAATTTAAATGTGAAGTGACAAGGGTTGTGTCATCTGCAAACATGATTGGAGAAAGAATATTTGAAACATTAGACAAATCATTAATATAAATAAGAAATAATAATGGTCCAAAAATGGATCCCTGAGGAACCCCACACAATAATCTAGTTTTGCTGGAATAGCAGCCCTTAATACAAATAAACTGCTTTTCTGTTTGAAATATAATGTTTTAACCAGTTGTATGTAATATCCTGAAAATCATATTTATATAACTTTTGCAACAATATCTGATGGTTAACTGTATCAAAAGCTTTTGAAAAGTCTATAAAATTACTACAAACAAATTCATTTTCTTCAAGTGCAGAGGTAACTTTGTCAATCAGGTGAAGCAGAACCATATAAGTAGAATGATTTTTCCAAAAACCACACTGATGTTTATAAAGAATTGAATTAGAATCTAAATGAAAAAGAATCCTTTTATATATTATTTTTTCTATTATCTTGGAAAAACACGGCAAATTTTATATAGGTCTATAATTATTGAAACAACATGGATCACCTGCTTTAAACATAGGAATAATCTTGGCAACTTTTAAGTCCTCTGAGATGGATCATTAAGAGAATTTTCACCGTCTAACGTTACTGAAGGCACCTCTATAGAAGTCTTTTCTCTTTGTAACAACTGATTTATTATTTTCCATGTCGTTTTGGTGTCCTTTGAGTACCTCATAAATTTTTCACTGAAATATTTCTTGTTTGCAGCTCTAATCGAATGGATATACTTATTCCTATAGGATTTATAGACACTATGTGTAAGAGGAGTAGGATTGGAAAACATTCATTGAAGCTAAGACTAATAACTTTCATAAACTTTTGGTATGCAAAATCAGCATTATTTTCCTCATATATTTCATTCCATGAAGTATTAGCAAGCATGTCTTTACATTTAGAAATATTTGACTTACTCATAATTCATTTGTGTATTATTTTCTTAGTATTTTTAGTTTTATTAATGTCAATCAAAGAGTACTGAAAAATGAGAAAATGATCTGATAAATCAGAAATCAGTACTCCAGATTTCACCACTTCATTCAAAGAATTAGCTAAAATGTTATCAGTCAAAGTTGCTGAGTTTTCTTTAACTCGTGTAGATTTATAGATGAGAGAAAAAAAATAACTAGAATAAAGAATATTATGAAAATTCCCAGTAGGGGTATCTACTTTATTTTTTAAAAGATTTATATTAAAATCACCTAAAATATAACAAAGTTTATCCTCTATATTTATCAAATCAAGTGATCTGGACAGACTTTTGTTAAAATCTTTGACGACAGAGTCAGGTGGTCGATAAATAACACAAAAAATAACATTCTCAAAAACACAGATTCTATCTCAGCCCTATCTGATTTCAAAATGAGATCATCCCTAATTTTAAATTCATAATCCTCATGAATAAATAGAGATACTCCACCTCCAGATCTATTTTCTCTTACATAATGAGCCGAGTTATAGTTAGGAAGTTTAAAGATATCCTTAGAATCCTCTGTAGGCCATGTTTCTGATAAAGCAACAACAGAAAAACAATGTTTAAGCGTAGATAAATAATGAATAAACTTACCATAGTTACTGGAAAGACTTCTTATATTCAAATGAAGAGTAGAGAGTATGTTAGAAGGCATAGAAACACACAGATCATTAAACTGCCTTTCATTATAAAAGGCATAAACATTGGAGACATTAAATGAGGAAAAAAAATGTAAGTCTGGGTCGACTTTAAAATTATAAGAGTTACTGGTAGAGAGATCAAATGGCTTGGAAATCTGACCCTCAAAATCACATTTGTTATTGTCCATAATGCAAACAAAAAACAATCTGATATAAATATGTAAACCAAACAAGCACTGTGTAAATGTCCAATAATGAAAATGAATGAGCTAAATTCTGAGCACTGACCTTTCTTTTGTTGTGATGGATTTTGAATTGGTGAATGAACAATGAGTTTGTCATATCTCAGATATGCAATATCACCGCTCTTTCTCGCTGCCTTCATTGCTGGGAGCAGTTCTTTCCTTCTCTGTCGGACAGAAGTCCTCATTATTAACAATGTCTGAGCCCTTCAAGATTTTAGCTTTATTCAGAACAGCAAGTTTGTCCTTCAACCGCAGGAATCTGACCACAATCGGCCGAGGCCTTCCTGAAGATGATGTTGGTTTCCCAGTCCTATGAGCTGAATCCAGTTCCATTTTCAAATGATCCAGTTGTAGTTTTTCTCTGAACAACTTTCTCACTTTTTCTTCAGATTCAGATACCTTTTCTTTGATAGACTCTGATGCCATGAACAACAATATTGTGTTGTCCAGACTGGCCCTCCAAATAGTCTGTCTTGTCTGAGATTGAAATCAAACTTTTACAGACGGTCTCCAAATCTGCCCTGGTTTCATTACTATTCTTGGACCAAGTTTTACATGCAAGTTTGAAATCATCAAGTTCCTTTTGAGTCATTTCTAAACTCACCTTAAGATCATAGACTTGCTTTGACAGATCATCAGTCCTCCTGTTTGAAGAATCAACTATGATCTGTACACAAGTTTTAAAGCTCTTTTCTTGCTGTTCAAGCAAAGTTCTGTAAAAATCTTTTTGCTGGTCCAACAATTCACGCATTTGAGTCATGGTGACACATTCCTCAGTAGTGTTATTAGAAGCTTTGGGTGGCATGTTTTGATCATCCAATGTCAAGGCCCACTAGGCCCAAAGTTCAGCAAAGTAGAGCCAGAAGCCTCCACAAAATACTTAAAGTGTCCACAATTCTGAAAGAAAGCGTTAATTTGACTCTTCTCAATTCAACCAACAGCAAAAAGTCAAAGATTTAAGTAGGATTCCTCAGATTGTTATTAGATATGAGAAAAGCCTACAGCCTCCATGAGCCACCAAGGCCCAAAGTTCAACTTTTGTCAACAAAGACATTGAATGTTGGATGACTTTATTCAATAAATGGATAAAAATCAGTAATTCACTGCTGTTGGAAAAAAAAACTTCTATCTCCATTTTTGTCGTTTTCAGTTTTAACATTGTTGTTGTCTTTTATATGTATGTAAATTTAATGAATATTGGACAAAAGGAAACGGCTCAAAATGACTGGGTAAAAAGTCTGGTTCATTGATTGCATTAAAAGTAAAGGAGGTTTTCCTTCTCCTGTAAAGTTCTCTTTGGAGATATTAGATTTCTTCCAACAGCAGTGAATCTTTTGTTTTTTGTTTAATTGGGTTCTCTGTCTATTGTTATGAGTTAAATATATATATCTGATCATATATTAGGAGAAATTCACAAAATGATAAAGGGTTCACAAACTTTCAAGCACACTGTACAGTAATGCTTTATACGGGTTTAAGTGCCCTTTAATGATTTTTTCACTGATTTTATATTCTTTCCCTCCTGATATAATGCTCTCCTAGGTGGCAGATCGGACAACTTCCTGGAAAAACTCTGAGGTATGTATCCGGATACAGCAGGTCAAAAACAGTGATGTGGTCAATCTGATGAGAGTAAAAACTCAAGCAGCACCTGTAAAACAGAAATTACCCCAGAATCCCATGTGCATTTAGTCCAGTCTGAGTAAAGCTGAGCCTTTCAACTAAGTCTAACAAGTTCAAATTTCTGCCCTTCTAGAGTTTTAGACACCTGAGAAAATATTTTTATAATATTTTTATATCTGGGCACTAAGGTTTATTTTCCCAGAAAACATGACTATTAGAATAAATACAAATAACATAATGGAATAAATATGTGATGTCCTATAGTACGTACACAATCAAATCTACTTCAGACCCACTATCTTTATTCACAACTAGAACATTAGAACATTCATATCAGCATGCTGAAAGTGAGATTTTACAATATCTCATGAAAAATATTAACTCATTCAGAACTTCATGGCAGCAACACATCTCAAAAAAGCTGGGACAGGGCACGTCTACCGTTGTGTACCATCTGCTCTTCTTTTAACTGGATGTGTCAGAGAGGCCTGGAGGGGTTTAACCAGCATGAAAGAGACTAAATACCCACTACAGTGTCATCCAGCAGAAATCCAGAGGACTTAACTATCTACTGTAGCAGATTTGATCAAATCAGCCAAAACGATGCACCTACATCATTAATGTGCCTGTGGAAGAATTCTCCTGAAGGCCAGTCTGGACCTGGTACTGATACTGTGTGTGTGTCTGTAGGTCAGTCATGCAGTCCTGCAGTTCTGCTCTCTGTATCCTGATCCTGATCTCTACATCCACTACTGGTTAGTACTGCACTATCACTCCTTTAAGACATTCTTAAAGATTTTACTCCTGTATTTTTTTTTACTTTTGGTTGTGAACCAGACTTGTTGGATTCATGTTGGTCCTTTTTAAGCAATTTCATTCTGACAAAACTATAATAAGACACATGAAATGAAACACGGCTGTTTTAAGGAGTCTTTCAACTTATATATGATCTACTAGGTACAAACCGTTTATAAACAGTGTACTAACTGATTAGAAACCTTTTCTAGAGATGCACACTAGGGCCCCAATTTACTGAAGAATTTATTTATTAACATGGTCTAATAATATGCATTAAAATGTTTTTTTATATAACATGGTATTTTTTCATAGCACTTTTCATTTAAGTTGAAAATCTGAAGTGCTTTGCACAAGAAGTAAAACAAACACTGTGGTCTAAATGAAAATATGAGTGCAGCTCCAAACAGGAGAAAATGAGCCACAGTATGTTTAGGCACATGCTAGACTAAACAAATATGATCTTCATCTGGAATTAAAACATCTATTACGCATGAATTCCTCATATGTTCTGGAATTTAGTGTCAAACTAGCTGTTAATACAGTGAAGAGAAAGAAATACTTCAAATGTACACAATATTTTTGTATTTGTTCTAAGAAACATGAAAAAAAACAGTATAAACAACAACATGTTTAAAGAAATCAAGCTGATGCAAAAAAGTGTTCCAGCACCACAAATTAATGGCTTTAGTACTTTGTTCCAGATCACTGGTTGGTAATTACAGCTTCAGAAAGTCAAGAGTGAGAAATAATTTTCTTTTTGCATCATTGTGGTTTGATTTTGGCCCCTTCAGCAAACTGTGCTACATTCTCCAAGGTTACTGAGGTTCTTCTGTTGGACCTGTAATTTTATCATCCTCCATCCTTTTTAGAAACAAGTGATGAGTTTTTCTGGCTGTATGTGTTTTAAATGTCCATCTTCCCCCCAGATACAGTTTCTTGACTGATTAAATTAAATTCTTCTCTATTATCTCCTGCTACATCACTCCATTTATCGCTCCATTCATCGCTCCATTTGTATTCCTTCGATGGTCTGTAATGCTCCAGTACCATTTGCAGACAAGCAGCTCCATATTATGATGCTCATATTTTTGTACTTCACGCTCCACTTTTCTTTCTCCAGAAATGACTGGTTGAATTATTTCTTAAGAGTTCAGTTTTTGTTTCTTCTGATCATAAAAAGTATTTAAAGTTCCTAAACATTGTTCCTGATTTGTCTAAAAAGCTCATATGAAAATTTTAGAGGCGCATCTCTGTGGTTCTCTTCCAGCAGAGGTGTTGTGTGTGTGGGGTGTAGACTTTCTGTAAAGGTCTGAATTTTAAACCTGTTTCTGAATATTACTGAACCAGCCAGTTAGCCTTTTAGCCACCTGCTGACCTCATCTAGTTACAGAGAACAGGAAGTGTAAATGAAGCTAAACAGAGCCTGTTTAGTTTATTCAGTTTAGATCCACAGAGACAATCAACAGTTCTGTAAATGTACCAGTTTAGCCATTTTGAAATGTAGTGCCTGGACCCCTGTTACCAACCAGTGATGCTCAACTGGTGATTCTTAATTTGGTTGAGTTTTATAAACATTAATTTCAGAAATTTTTAACTTTCAACAAGTCATTTAATTTCTGTTAACTTGAAGAATTAGGTATTTGATTTTATAATCAAACAGACTCTTTATGTTTCTTTTATATGTTTCAGTGTCTGTATCAGCTGATCTTCCAGTGAAGGTGAAGCTTCATGACTCTGCTACTCTGCCCTGCTATGAGAGATGCTCTGGTTTAGCAAGATGGACTGTGTTTCACAAACGCAGTGACACTCTGGCTGAGTGTGATCAGACTTCATGCAGATCAGTGAAGGAGGGATATCAGATGATCCGTGATCAGTACCTGAAGGGGAATCTCTCTCTCATCATCACTGATGCTAATTTCAGTAAGAGAGGCTGGTACACGAGTGACTGCGCCAGCAAGGACATCTGTGATGTTCATCTACAGATTGAGCGTAAGTGTCCATCTGTTTTCTTCACTGATAGAACAGATTTACATTGTTTTACATTACAGATCAGATCTGCACAGAATTAAGGATGTTTCTGATTGTTCTTCTCTCAGCCTTGAACACTACAGTTGAGATAATGGCCGGTGAATCTCTGATCCTGAGGCTGGATGTATCAGATGCAGTGGAGGTGATTTATAACAGCACAGGCACACCTGGACCATCCAGTGGTCAGATCTGTACAGTGGATGGACCCTCACTACAGTGTAAACCTGAATACACACAGAGATCATCACTTACATCTGGTCTTGAGTTGAGAAGAATGACTCCATCTGAGAGTGGAGTTTACATTATTATGGACAGCAGGAACAAAGAGGTCATTCACACCTACACAGTGACCGTCCAAGGTATGATTTTAGTGTTTTTCTTTCTCCAAAGTGCTTTTAGTGTTTTAACAGCATTCGCCATGTTTTACCAGGCACTGTTTCTGTACTGATGTGCTGGTGGTGAACTGAACTGAATTAAGCTGGCAGTTTACTTAAAACAATGATACAATTAAACTGAACTACCGTCAGGCATGTGGAGATCTCAGAACTAAGGAGCTGTGATCAGGACCAATCACAGTCAGGGGGAGGTCTCAGAATAATGGAGGTGGTGATTAGGAGCAATCACAGTCTGGGGGAGGTCTCAGAATAATGGAGGTGGTGATTGGGACCAATCACAGTCTGGGGGAGGTCTCAGAACAGACAAGGTGGTGATCAGGACCAATCACAGTCAGGGGGAGGTCTCAGAATAATGGCGTTGGTGATTAGGACCAATCACAGTCAGGGGGAGGTCTCAGAATAGTGGAGGTGGTGATTGGGACCAATCACAGTCTGGGGGAGGTCTCAGAACAGACAAGGTGGTGATCAGGACCAATCACAGTCAGGGGGAGGTCTCAGAATAGACAAGGTGGTGATTAGGACCAATCACAGTCAGGGGGAGGTCTCAGAATAATGGCGTTGGTGATTAGGACCAATCACAGTCAGGGGGAGGTCTCAGAATAGTGGAGGTGGTGATTGGGACCAATCACAGTCTGGGGGAGGTCTCAGAACAGACAAGGTGGTGATCAGGACCAATCACAGTCAGGGGGAGGTCTCAGAATAATGGCGTTGGTGATTAGGACCAATCACAGTCAGGGGGAGGTCTCAGAATAGTGGAGGTGGTGATTAGGACCAATCACAGTCAGGGGGAGGTCTCAGAATAATGGAGGTGGTGATTAAGACCAATCACAGTCAGGGGGAGGTCTCAGAATAGTGGAGGTGGTGATTAGGACCAATCACAGTCAGGGGGAGGTCTCAGAATAATGGAGGTGGTGATTAGGACCAATCACAGTTAGGGGGAGGTCTCAGAATAATGGAGGTGGTGATTAGGACCAATCACAGTCACAAATCTTCTCTGTGTAAATAAGCTTCATATTAGTTCTATCAGTCTGATCTTTCATGTAGAACCTGAAGACTTTCCTAAAGAGTGTTGATCACATTTATCTCCTCTGTTCTATCTGGTACTTTAGATGTACAGCAGAGCTCGATATGGAAGGACGGCTATCAGAAAGGAAACAGTGATGGGTATCAGAAGGGAAGTGAAGATGGATATCGTAACGGATTGGGAATCGGAGCAGTGGTTTTTGGGATCATAGCTCTGGCTCTTGGTGTGATTCTGGGAATGTTTGCTGGGCCGCGGGTGCGTCCTCTGATGGGCACATGTGTCCAGAAGTTCCGAAGAGAAGATTCCTCAGGCAGAAGAAGAGGCGATCCCTCAGGTGGGCTACAAGCTGAAGACGGGGAAAGTGGTGTTGCCCTGGCCAGAGCTGCCCAGCCAGAGCTCTGAAGAGTAAACAGACTATAAGTTTTCTTTTTTTCAGCTGTCTGTAGAACGTCTCTTCAGTCGGTTTTATTTTGAGATTAGACAAACACGTTACAGGATTTCATCAGTAGTGTGTTCAGTACCGTTCAGTGATTAATGGTAAGAATCAGGATGGAGTGGCTCAGATTCTTCTAACACTGAAATACTTTGTGTTTTTTAATTCCACACTTCAAATTTCTGCCCATGTTTAGCTTCAAATATGTAGAAAATCTTTGATCTTGCCATGGAACAGATTCAGGAGAACGGGGTTTGTAGAAATAATGATGGTTTATTAAAAAGAGAGCGCTCAGTATATCTGCCTTAGTCCCACCCCAATCTGAACAGCAGCTCAGACACTCAGCTTTCATGCTATTAAACTGACCCCCCACCCCCCAGTAGAGTCATACAGAACAGAGGGGGACACTGGAATCCTGTCATAATTACCTTACTGTGTTCTGCCCAGGACTTCCTCCTTAGGGGGTGTTGTAAGGCCATTTGGTGAAACTGTTCAAACCACGAGAACAGAAATGGAGGTGACTTCTTAACCCATTAATACTGTTTAACGATGAATAACAGAAAGGAAAATAAACAGAAAACTAGAAAATAAATCAAAATAAAACAATTCCCAACAAATATCACAACTTTTCACCCGCAGGTGAAGAGGAGGCGAATGAGAAACTGCTGTAGTGTCTTGTCTGTGCTGCTGGTGGTGCGATGTCTTTGACTATACACAGCTATTTTAACCATTAATTGATATCAGAAATTTGATTTTGATGTGAAATTGTTATTAAAACCACTTAAAACAGAACATACTTTGTTAATTTTGATTTTTGGAAATTGACCTTAATTCAATTTCTTACACACTCCTCACTGTTATGACCTCCTATGTCTAGGGGAACACTTAAGGTCGTACGTAAAAAAAAGACAAGCCAATGCCACCCAACTGCCAGACCAAGACACCACCAACTACAAATAATTGATCACTTATCAGCATTTATTTCTTTTAACTTAGACAAGTTAAATGCACCATCTTACAGAAGTTGGTAAGTCTAGTTTTAAACTGATCAAATGCAAATGAGCTTACACAAAAGATAAACTTCAGGGGGTGAGATAAACAAACTAGAAACAAAAGATAACTAAACTAATCCCTGTCCCAAACCAGGAGAAAACAATATACAAAAAAAAACCACCATAGGGCACTCACCCCCTTACTTAGAAAAGGAAAGCTTTACAGGTATTTAGGCAAACTCAGACAACAATAACACAAGTTCACAAAAAGTTGAGGTGCTTGGTCTGGTCAGGTGGAGGCTGATGGCACAGGTGCGACCATTGGAACAGCCCTCTCCTCCTCCTGCAGTGCCGCAACGGCCCTTAAGTAACTGGAGCGCCCCCTGCTGTATCCAATCAGAACCTCCAGAAACCAATCCTAGAGGGAAAGTGAAAAAAAAACCCAAAAAACACCATACACCCCCAGGATCGTAACATCACATTGAGATACAGTAATTTTATGATAGGAACTACAGTTTTACATAAAACATAATTCTTTCTTCAAAAAACTTTTTATTCATTTTCATTTGTTTATATTGAATGTCTGACAAGAAGACTCTGCTCCACATACACTGACCGGTACAACACATTCTAAACTATTCTTATTTATTTAAATACACTAAATAAATTAAATGGCTGTGGAAAACTGTAAAATTATTTTTCACCTAAAAGATTTAATTTCTCTGCTACTGATCCTCATTTTAGGTTGAACTTTTCATGATGTAGTAATTTTCTGCAGTGTGAGATTTTGAGTTGTTGTTTTTTGTTCTTGTGTTCACAGATCAGCTGTGTATTCTGTGCAGCTCTTTAACAGAGGCCTTTTTCTGAACTGTAGCTGCTGTAATGCTAAAGGTACTTTCAGACCAGAGCATGTTAACCTGTCTCTGAATGTAGCTCTGCTTTCAGAACACAAACCCTTTAAATACATAAACACTGGTTATTAACTAAACACTACTGTAATCAGCTGAAAGCACTGTTATTAAAGATGCTGATGAATTCAACAAAGAGAAAAGAGTATAATGTGTATGTAGGTGAAACGCAGGGATGGGGGAGGAGCTAAGTAGTGCTCTACTTTTTGTATTTAGCTACAGATTTCAGTAGCTAGTAGCTGTAGCTGCTACAGTTTTATGAAATGTAGCTAAAAGCTGAAGCGCCTACAAATTTTTGTGTTGCTATAGTGATAATTTTCACTACAGTTTCGCTACAGGCTTCAGACAATCCGTGGAAAATGAACCACAGAACGTGGTCAGTAACTGGGCTGGTGGCGACTGTGCAATCCTGACTGAGCTGCGGACAGCTGGAGCGAGTGGGCACACGCTGACCCCACGCACTTGTCACCCCTAACTAGGCTTAGCTCAGGGGTCGCAACCGCAATATTAAGAAGAGCCGTTTTGTCCTGTCAGCAAAAATCACACCACCTTGGGAGCCACAATGTTTACTGTCTGTTTACCATCTTGGCTGTCAGTGTATCTCAGTGTGTGCTGATGAATCAGTACAGGCTAGAAACATAAACACAAACTCAGACTCACTCTGCTCTGCTGGAACCTTCAGCTCAGCTGTAGCCGCTTTTCTCGCATCTCAGGAAACTTCTCCACGAGTTTCTTGTAAAATGTCTCTCAATGTTTGACTTTTTATGAGGTTGAAGTCGCTTCTCATTCGAATTGTCCCGTTCCACGAGAATTCGAACGAGAAGCAGGAGAAAGAGAAGCTGACTAAAATTTCGCGAGTTGCTGCAGATTAAATGTATCAGCAAACCAGAGTGATTATGAATGTAAATCAGTCCATTCATCTCCAAAATATCTTCTCTCTCTTTGCCGTCAGTGTTGCTGTGTCCAGCAGTCTGCGCGTCAGTCTTCAGCGTTAGAGGGTGAATTAGCAGTTCTACATTAACTCCAGCGTTTCAGACCATTTATTGTAAAACTGTGTTAAAACCTATTTTACCTAGAAATCTAGTTGTGCTGTGGAGCTGCAGCAGCTCTGCAGCAGTGGAGAGATGATCCAGGCCTGATTCACCCCAAACAGAGTCAGAGTCACTGATGAGGATTTTGAGGCTAAAGTGTTGCTTAAGTTTAATAAAGACTCTGAATGTGAATGTCTGTACACACACCGGTCAGGCATAACATTCTGACCACCTCCTTGTTTCTACACTCATTGTCCATTTTATCAGCTCCACTTACTATATAGGTGCACTTTGTAGTTCTACAGTTACAGACTGTAGTCCATCTGTTTCTCTGATACTTTGTTAGCCCCCTTTTACCCTGTTCTTCAGTGGTCTGTGTTTAGTCTTAATTTTTGTTGGATTTGGGTGTGTAAGTCTGATTGTTGGTTACACTTTCTGGTGATCTTTTTTGTATGTTTGCAGCTTCTGAATTGTAAGTTTCTTTCTAGTACAGGATTAAAGGCAGGGTCTTGTTCACACTGTCAGTTGGGCTTGTTTGGTGTGTCTGGTGGAGATTCACAAACGACAGTCGCGCTCTTAAAGTAGCTAAAACGTAGCCACTACTCTTTCTGGAAAAGTAGCTAAATTGTAGCTGCTACAAATTTTGGGAAAGTAGCTACAAAATAGATAACTAGTAATTTTTCAGTAGCTGTCCCAGCCCTGGTGAAACGCCTGTAAAAACTCAAGGAACAAAATCAAAAATTATCTAAAAAAGAGGTGGTCTAAAAAAGAGCTGGTCTAAAAAAGAGGTGGTCTAAAAAAGAGCTGGTCTAAAAGAGAGGTGGTCTAAAAAGGAGGTGGTCTAAAAAAGAGCTGGTCTAAAAGAGAGAGTCTACCTCCATTAAAACAGAATATTTGTTCCTTTTACACAATGTTCAAATGTTTTCTTTCACCTCCTGATACATGCATCACACTCTTTCATAGATAAAACAGGATAAAAATGATAGGATTGTAAATTGATGTAATGGGGTTAAGCAGTTATAATGGTACGATAATTATTTGTGAACAACATTGACTCAGTGATTCATTTTAGATTCTCTTCCATTTAATGCACATCTGTATACACATTTCCTGTAATACACTGTTTTTACATTTGTGCTTACTGTCCGTTTAACTACTGATGAAATAAACGAATGGGTGCTCTGACTTCTGCACAGAACTGCTTGAATCGTTCCTACTTCATTAGCATTTCCTACTGTATTAGCATTTCCTACTGAATTAGCATTTCCTATTTCACTAATCAGAAGCCATAAGAAGCAAGAAACTCAGTTCATTCATAAAGACAAGTGAAGAGTTCTAGCTCTGTTATAGAAGCTCAGTTGCAGCATTTTCTAGAGTTCACTCTGCAATAAAGAAAAACCTCCAATGAGTGTCAGTTCTGTGCCTTGTTGATGAGAGGTCAGTCGAGAATGGCCAGACTGGTTTGAGCTGACAGAAAGGCTATATTAACTCAGATAACCACTCTATACAATTCGTGGTGAGCAACTCAGGATGCACAAAACATTGAACCTTGTGGTGGATGGGCTACAACAGCAGAAGACCATGTTGGGTTCCAATTCTGTCAGCCAAGAGCAGATGAATCCATGGACCCAACTTGCTGTGTGTGAGCAGTCCAGGCTGGTGGAGGTGATGTAATGGGGTGGGGAATGTTTTCTTGGCACACTTTCGGCCCACAAATATTAATTAATCATCGCTTTAATGCCACAGCTCATTTGAGTATTGTTGCTGACCATGTTCATCCCTTCATGGCCACAATTTTACATCTTCTAATGGCTACTTCCAGCATGATAATGCACCATGTCACGAAGCAACTGTCTCAAACTGGTCTCATGAACATGATAATGAAAATGTTTCCAACATCTTGTGTAACCCACACCATGAAGAATTGAGGCTGTTCAGGGTAAAGTGAGACCTTATGCATTATTAGTGTAGTGTAGAGTAGTAATACAGTGTTTGTTGACTGTATATAATGAGACAATGAGAGAGATTCAAATGTGTTTATGTGACTTGTTTGGAGCAGCCTTTGTCTTTCAGAAACATTCAGTGCTGAGAGGGTGATTTTAGACCAGCAGATGGCGCCATTATTAAAGCTGAATATTATAGAATATTAAACTCAGGTACACCTACCCTGTATTTCAGTAGTGGACAGTAACTAAGTAAATGTAATTCGTTACTGTACTTCAGTAGTTTTTCATGTATCTGTACTTAATACTGAAGTTTTTCCATTTTGGGCAACTTTTTACTTTCACTCCACTACATTTCAAAGTCTAATATCTTTCTTTTTACTCCACTACATTATGAGAAATCTGTCGTTCCTTTTGGTTTATGTGTGTATAAAAATGTAACATTTCAAAACAAAAGAAGCGCAAAGCAAAAACACCAATCAGGACACAGCGGTCACTTTGTTTTGAGCTTGTTTTGACCTGTTGGTCATACCGACCCAGTGCAGCACACGGTTCAACATCAGTGCAGCAGCGTAAAATTTTAGGAGAGTCTGTTCAACATAAATGATGAACTAACCTAACTTTGTGTAAACAGACCACAATATAGAAATATGTACTCATATGCAGTGACTGACGTGTCTTTATTCTAAATTTATACAAACACATTTCATTTTATAGTAAGTTTGTTTTGGCTAGTTTATGTTTATGAACAGAGACCTACAGATGCAGTTTAGTAAAGGAAACTCATTTGTGAATCTGAGTTTAAAGTTTTTATTTAACTTAAACTTCTAACTAAGTTCAAATAAATCTTAAACTGAAACTTTGCTTGTTAGTAAAAAGTGATTTCAGAGCCACTCAGTTCTACCTGATGGAAACTGTTTGCCTTCAGTGTTTTGTGTTTATGATAATTTTAATAGACATCAGCGTCACTAATTAATGACTCTATTAAAAGACTGGTTTACCAAGAGAGACACTGGAGTATTTTACCTAAAATGAGTTAATGAAGCAGAGTCTGGTTACAAAAATGATAATAGGACATTAAAGTCATAATTAATCTTTCAGTACTTTTACTTTCGATACTTAAGTACATTTGAAGGCAAATACTTTAGTACTTTTACTCAAGTGGAGGTCTAAAGGGAGGAACTTCTCCTTTTACTGGAGTAATATGTTACCTTGGGTATCTCTACTTTAACTCAAGTACATGATTTGTGTACTTCGTCCACCACTGCTAATTTTCACTATGACTCCTGTGAGTTTATGAGCTCCAGCTTTGTGCCTTTACTGTCCAACATTCCAGCTGATTCACTGTACCAAGTCTATAAATGTACTGCTGTGTCACTGTTTCTGTTTTTATTTTTATGATTATTGTTGTTGTTGTTATTTGTATGTAACTGTATTGAGGGATACTGCTGGGATAGGCTCCAGCACCCCACCATGACCCAGAAGGATAAGCGGTTTAGATGATGGATGGATGTATTGTGGGATGCTGGATTATTCAATGTTTGCCTTGTGAGCCAAAGCTCTGACAGCTGCACTGCTTTAGTATAAGCTGAATTTATACCAGTTCAGATTGTTACAGTAAGTGATGCATGTAAGTCAAAAAAAATCAAATCAGCTTTATTCCACTTTTACAGGGCATTAATTAGAGCTTTTGTTAAAAATGAGCAGGATGATCCTGCGTGATTGTTGGGTCTTTGCATGGGTTTATACAATTTCTGCAGTTTGTTTCTGTCACTTGGTGGTTGTTGTGGTTTCAGTGGTGCTAATGACAGAGAGCTAAATTACAGGAATACTAGTTCAGCAATATTTAATCACTGCCAAGTTCAGGAATCCATGGTGTGATGTAGCAGTTTTTACACACTAAATCTATGATTTTGTAACAATTTTACTTGGGCAAAATGAATGTACAGTGATTAATGTACGCATTATGTTAACTGATGTCAGCAATAAAAATAAATCTTGACTTGTTTTCTTAATTGCCTTTCCTTCATTTCTAGCTGCAACTTTCTAATTTTGTTTTTTTTTCTTAAGTTTTGCTTCATTAGTTTTTCACATCAGGTGTTTTTTGAACATCTGCATTTTCTGCATTATAAATTAGTTGAAATGTAAACAAAGTCATTCAGAGTGTTTTGACACGAAAACTTGATGGAATTCCCTCTAAGCTTGACCACAATCTGATCCTTTGTTATCGGTCACAACCTGCAGTGAGGAATGTTTTCAAAACACAACAAAGTGATCCAAATCCTGCAGTGTGGAACTATTTTTAAGTAAAAAAGACCAGATCAAAATACCTGAGGGCAAATTATCATTCACAAACTACTCAAATATTCAGTATTCAAAATCAGAAAAATACAAATGTGTAGAAAAATTAACCCAGTTGAACTGAGCGTTTTGCTGGTAATCCATTCTGAGAATTTGGCGATGCCCCCTTAGGCTCATTTAAATCTCATGCACATCCATGTTGGCCACAGTGAAACACAGTAATGTGTAGAAATGGAACTTTCTGTGCGCTTTCAGAGCGAGAGCAGTTCAGGTCGATAAGAGCTTATAACAAATGGATTTCAGAGAAGCAATAAATTGTAAAAAGTAGTTTCTGAGAAATTTTGGCTGTTAAATCATGTTATTTCCATATCGAATAAAAGCAACAGCAGCATTAGGTCAGCACTAAGTTATTAACATAGAAATATTAACCTTGTTAAAAGGGTAATGTTTAATATAGCCTAATATTTAATTAATAATATAAAGGTTCATATTTATTAACTGAATGTATGATCTGATAAGACGTTGCTGCTGGGAGAAGAGGACATTTATTGTGATGTTCATGGTTTGCTTTATAATGTTTTTGGTATTAAATTCATTACAGCAGTGATCCCCAACCCTGGTCCTGGAGATCTACCCTCCTGTTGAATCTAGTTCAACCACAATCTACCACACCTGCTCCAGCTAATGAACTTCTTCAGAAGCTCCTGATTGGCTGGATTAGATGCATTAGTGTTAGGTGATTGCAGTTCACCTAGATGCAGGTTAGAACTAAACTTGTATATAACAACATTTTAATAGTAATAATTATTAATCAATCAATACTTGAAGTAACACTATTGGTTGTTTGGATATTAATTCTTTTACATACTTTTTATCTCATTAGTAATCACTTTAAGTACTTTCAGTAGGTTGAGAGAATTTTATTCAGTTAATTTATGGTGTGATTTCCATATTTTGAGAGGAGTTAGTAGAATATTAGTAGTGCTGCTCAAATGTAATACACTTAATTTCTTGGCAGACATGATGTCAAGAATTAAAACACGTTTCTTTAAACTAAGCTCTGATCAAAAAGAGAAGAAGCCCATCTGCTCAGTAACTGCCCCTGACCAGTGTTACTTCAGGTATTGATTTATAATTATTACTAGTAAATATATTGTTATAAATTCTTTGGCCAACTTAATTGTTGTGTGCATATTCCTAGGACTTTTGGGGAAATCTTTGCTGCAAGCTTGGCTCAAGGAGTCCCCCACCAAATTGTATGTGTGCTACACCTTGCCACAGGAGATTACCTCAGATGATGACGTACCTAACCTTACCCATGACATATTGGCCTGTGGATACACTGGTGTCGTATGCATAGGCAAAAAGGAGCAGAATATAAGGTTTGCTATTTAAATATGAAACATGATTATTAACTGAACAAAACCTCTCTCTTGTATGTATATTCATTTTATACTGAAAGTTCTGTTTGCAGGTGAAAAACTGGGAAATGGGAAATGTCCTTGTGGTGCCCTCCGGACGCTTGAAGTCCAGATGCATAGATATACATACACTATTTTGCCAAAAGTGTTCACTCACCCATCCAAATCATTGAATTCAGGTGTTCCAGTCACTTCATTCACCACAGGTGTATAAAACCAAGCATCTAGGCCTGCAGACTGCTTCTACAAACATTAGTGAAAGAATGTGTCGCTCTCAGGAGCTCAGTGAACTCCAGCGTGGTACCGTGATAGGACGCCACCTGTGCAACAAGTCCAGTCGTGAAATTTCCTCACTACTAAATATTCCACAGTCAACTGTCAGTGGGATTATAACAAAGTGGAAGCGATTGGGAACGACTGCAACTCAGCCACGAAGTGGTCGGCCACGTAAAATGACAGAGCGGGGTCAGCGGATGCTGAGGCGCATAGTGCGCAGAGGTCGCCAACTTTCTGCAGAGTCAATCTCTACAGACCTCCAAACTTAATGTGGCCTTCAGATTAGCTCAAGAACAGCGTAGAGAGCTTCATGAATGGGTTTCCATGGCCGAGCAGCTGCATCCAAGCCTTACATCACCAAGCGCAATGCAAAGCGTCGAATGCAGTGGTGTAAAGCGCCGCCACTGGACTTTAGAGATTTTGGACAATTTTATGATCCCAACTTTGTGGGAACAGTTTGGGGAGTTTGGCCCCTTCCTGTTCCAACATGACTGCACACCAGTGCACAAAGCAAGGACCATAAAAACATGGATGAGCAAGTTTGGTGTGGAAGAACTTGACTGGCCTCCACAGAGTCCTGACCTCAACCCGACAGAACACCACTGGGATGAATTAGAGCGGAGACTGTGAGCCAGGCCTTCTCATCCAACATCAGTGTCTGACCTCACAAATGCGCTTCTGGAAGAACGGTCAAAAATTCCCATAAACACTCCTAACCCTTGTGGAAAGCCTTCCCAGAAGAATTGAAGCTGTTATAGCTGCAAAGGGTGGGCCGAAATCTTATTAAACCCTGTGGATTAACAATGGGAAGTCACTCAAGTTCATATGCGGATTAATGCTATAACTTACAAAGCATTAACCATCATTGTAATAATTTGTAATATAACATACATATATTTGTATGTATATCTATGTCTGCGACACCCTAGCAGACACCAATTTAGTTAGTTTTTGTCGAGCGACGCTTGTCATTTGGACTACAAATGGGCTTTTACGTGACATCATATCCGGGACTGCAGCTAGACCCCTCCCCCTGTGTTTGGAGCTGGAGCAGAGCCCGGAATACATACTTGGGAAAATTAGAAGGGGAAGTCGTCTTCCGTTGGGCCCCGTGGGACTTATCACGGTGTTAAAGAAAGACTTTTCCGTAGTTGTGCTGTTTTTCCTCCTCAAAAGAAACCACAGCCGGACAGTAAGTCACAGCCCTTGTTTACGTTCCTGAACCAGCTCTCTGACTCACGCGTAGCCTGTTCAGGTTTAGCTTTAGCTAGCTAGCTGCGCTAGCCCAGCCCCTCTGTCTATGCCCTGCCCTGGACTATTTATGTTACCAAAGAACACAAATGGTACAATAATGAGTCCTGAACTCGGAGAAGAGCCACATTTCAGCAGAGAGCGGCCTTAGATAACTTAGAGCACGGTATTCCGAACAATTCAGTATTCCGTACACTTCGGTATTCCGTACAGTTCAGTATTCCGTGCATTTGCAACTTTTCCTGTTTGTGTAATAAAAAAACACTTTCTTGATGTTTGTCAACGATATATCTGAGACATTATCATATGTCCTGTTTTCCATCAAATCGGTTGGCGAGACCATCTAAGCTGGGTTTGGACATCAAATGTGTGCAAATAGTGACCGACCCACCAGCGCCACACGAACATGGCGGGTGGGGAAACCCAGGGATGCGAATGTGAATGGGGTGGGAAAACTTTCACGGCCAGTTAAAATACATTTTAGCACATTTAAACATCATATTTAACACTAAAACAAACATTAAACAGTGGATCATCACCATGAAACACAGCGTGTTTAGTACTGAGCTGTTAATCTAAGTTTACACCGTCAGCTAAGTTACCTCAGCAGACTCCTTTCAGCTGCGCAGCTTCACAGCACTGCCTCACTTTACTGGGCTTCTTTCCATGGTAGCCTCATTCACTGCACACATTGTTCATATTAATTCACTTTTATAATCAGTATAATCAGTTAATGTCTATTTTTATGCAATTAGATTTCATTAAACTTAAAATAGAATTCAGGGAAAACACTGTACGGAAGACTGCTCCTTCTGTGGAAGCTGGTGTTCGGAATACTGACGGCACAAACCCGATGACACAGATGACAAATTTTTCGTATTTCTTTAAAAGTATTGGCCAAAATGTGACCAATCAAAATGCATCTTGGTTGCTAGGCACAGAGAACTTGTAGAGATGAGAATTACCGCTCTGTAGTTTCTTCTGGGTTTTCTCAAACACTAGGGGGCGCTCCCGAGTGAAACATCACTATTATGGCTTGTTGTAATAAATTGTATGATACAGATTAAAATGAGATCAAAACAAACACACTGTTTCTTTGTTTTAGGGCACTGGAAGCACTTTTTGTATTTTTATCCTCTTCTTTCTGGTGTGTGTGTGTGTGTGTCTGTAGGTCAGTCATGCAGTCCTGCAGCTCTACTCACCGTTTTCTGATCCTACTGACCACTACATTCACTATTGGTAATCACTGCACCATCACAGCTTTGTTGTGGTCAGTTGTTAATTTTATTTTCTGTTAGTCATCGATTTTTCGCAGTATTACAGAATGAAGCAAACCAAAAACAACCCCCTTTCCCTCCCTATCCCACCACTGCACCCATCCCCTCTGTCTTTGTTACATTGCTGACAGTACATTAAATATGATACTAATGAATAAAGCGAGATAAAACTGAGATCAAAGACAGATGTTAGCGTATATATTGTATGTCAAACATCATTTGCTCTGGTCTTTTTTCTTGCATCAAAATAATCCTGTCTCCATGTCTCGAGAGTAGATACTTGAGCTTCACTGATTCTAGCTGTGGCCAATTCTAACATTACTGCGTCATGTTAAATGATGTGGGGGAGCCTCCTTTGTGCAATGCCTTATTAGCCTACGCTAAACCAGTGAGTCATGTCTTTATTCTCCTGTTAGGGCCAAATCTGAGTCATCATTAAGGAGTTATCTAGCTGGGCAGACCTTCTTGCATACGGTGTGGGAATGAGGTTCCTGCTTGTTGTTGTGGTCGATGGTTGCAGTAAGGATTTAAAGCAGCTGTTGTAAGAGAGCCTATCTGAGGTGTCCAGTATAACCTGTGACAGTACTGAAATGGATCAGTTGGTGTTTTGGGGTTTGGAATATATTTTCCACACAGTTTCCATATTAACTTCATTGACGGATTGAATTGGGAGCTTCTTATATGATCTTTTAATGAGGTGAGAATTCATAACTGGTACAAGACCTCGCGGTGGTGCACTAATGATCCAGCTGTAAACCAGATGTGCTTTGATGTTTGTTCCCCATAGATCTCCATATGCTTTAAGGGCTGAACGAGAAAAGCTGATTTTGGGATACTGAACTGTTTTAATGTCCTGTCTTACGGCTCAGACACAAACGCTTCAGTAACCGAGTTGATATTTCTGTCGTGCCATAATGAGGTTTGTTATGCTGTTTGTCATAGAGTTTGTGATGGTGTTTATCATGATAGAACCAAACTTTATCCAACAGTATTTTATAGACGTCCCAGAAAACAATACACCTGAAGTCTGATAGACCCACTTAATTTGCCTCCAAGGAGTCAGTCTGGAGAAAAGCTTTATGGTGTTATTAAATTAGGTAAAGATAAACTTTCATTTATAACACAGTCCACCATGTTTTCATAACATTTTTACAGACTGTACTTGTTTTACTTTTTGGTTTGTAAACCAGATTTTTTTGGGTGTGCAATTCTCTCTTTAAGCAACAACATCCTGATAATTTTAATTTAATTCATTACATTTTTATTATTACTTAATTTGAAAACATGTCAAACTTTAACTCCTAATGTTCTCTGGAATTCTACTCCTGAATTAAGTGTCATTTTATTTAAAATGAATATGTATTTTGACCGTGTACTTGTAAATATGAACATGCATAAACAAAGAAATAGCTTTAAAAATGGAATTAATAAGAATACTTAGAATTCTTATGAGAGTAGAATTCTAATGAGAACGCATTTAGAAATGTCTGTGGTAAGAAGTGATTGACTTTCCTCTTGACAAACCGTCTTAAATTCTCCGAGGTTACGAGGGTCCCCCTGTTTCAACATCCGGCATCCTTTTTGGAAACCAGTCTTGAGTTGTTTTGTATATTTGGGGTCACTGTCTTGTGGAAATGCCCATCTTCTCATCACATCAGTTTCTTGAATGATGAGATTAAATTCTCCTCTAATTCTTCCTGCTACATCACTCCATTCATGATTCCTTTGATGGAGTGTAATGCTTCAGTACCGTTAGCAGATAAGCAGCTTTATGAGCTGAATTATTACTGGAGAGTTCTGTTTTTGTTTCCTCTGACCATAAAAAGTTCCAGAACTTTGTTGCTGATTTGTCTAAATGCTCATGTGCATATTTAAGATGTGCATCTCTGTGATTCTTTATCAGCAGAGGAGTTGTGTGTGTGGGGTGTAGACTTTCTGTAAAGGTCTGAATTTTAAACCTGTTTCTGAACCAGCCAGTTAGCCTTTTAGCCACCTGCTAACCTCATCTAGTTACAGAGAACATGAAGTGTAAATGAAGCTAAACAGAGCCTGTTTAGTTTATTCAGTTTAGATCCACAGAGACAATCAACAGTTCTGTAAATGTACCAGTTTAGCTGATTTCAGCTGTAGCCCCGTTTAACAACATCCAGTGATGTTCAACTGGCAGGTCTTAGTTTGGTTGAGTTTTATAGACATTAATTTCAGCAATTTTTAACTTTCACCAATTTGTTTAACTTCTTTTAATTTGATGAAGAATTAGGTATTTGATTTTACAATCAAACAGACTCTTTATGTTTCTTTTATATGTTTTCATTGTCTGAATCAGCTGATCCAGTGAAGGTGAAGCTTCATGACTCTGCTACTCTGCCCTGCTATGAGAGATGCTCTGGTTCAGCGAGATGGACTGTGTTTCACAAACGCAGTGACACTCTGGCTGAGTGTGATCAGACTTCATGTAGATCAAAGAAGGGATATCAGATGATCCATGATCAGTACCTGAAGGGAGATTTTTCCCTCATCATCACTGAGGCTGATTTCAGTAAGAGAGACTGGTACATGTGTGACTGTGATGGTAAAGATGTCTGTGATGTTCATCTACAGATTGAGCGTAAGTGTCCATCTGTTTTCTTCACTGATAGAACAGATTTACATTATTTGACATTACAGATCAGATCTGCACAGAATTAAGGATGTTTCTGATTGTTCTTCTCTCAGCCTTGAACACTACAGTTGAGATAATGGCCGGTGAATCTCTGATCCTAAGGGTGGACGTATCAGATCCAGTGGACTTGATTTATAACAGCGCCGGTACACCTGGACCATCCAGTGGTCAGATCTGTACAGTGGATGGACCCTCACTACAGTGTAAACCTGAATACACACAGAGATTATCACTCACAGCTGGTCTTGAGCTGAGAAGAATGACTCCATCTGAGAGTGGAGTTTACATTATTATGGACAGCAGGAATAAAGAGGTCATTCACACCTACACAGTGACCGTCCAAGGTATGATTTTAGTGTTTTTCTTTCTCCAAAGTGCTTTTAGTGTTTTAACAGCATTCGCCATGTTTTACCAGGCACTGTTTCTGTACTGATGTGCTGGTGGTGAACTGAACTGAATTAAGCTGGCAGTTTACTTAAAACAATGATACAATTAAACTGAACTACCATCAGACATGTGGAGATCTCAGAACTAAGGAGCTGTGATTAGGACCAATCACAGTCAGGGGGAGGTCTCAGAATAATGGAGGTGGTGATTAGGACCAATCACAGTCAGGGGGACGTCTCAGAATAATGGAGGTGGTGATTAGGACCAATCACAGTCAGGGGGACGTCTCAGAATAATGGAGGTGGTGATTAGGACCAATCACAGTCAGGGGGAGGTCTCAGAATAATGGAGGTGGTGATTCGGACCAATCACAGTCAGGGGGAGGTCTCAGAATAATGGAGGTGGTGGTCAGGACCAATCACAGTCAGGGGGAGGTCTCAGAATAATGCAGGTGGTGGTCAGGACCAATCACAGTCAGGGGGAGGTCTCAGAATAATGGAGGTGGTGATTAGGACCAATCACAGTCAGGGGGAGGTCTCTACAAATCTTCTCTGTGTAAATAAGCTTCATATTAGTTCTATCAGTCTGATCTTTCATGTAGAACCTGAAGACTTTCCTACAGAGTGTTGATCACATTTATCTCCTCTGTTTATCTGGTACTTTAGATGTACAGCAGAGCTCGATATGGAAGGATGGCTATCAGAAAGGAAACAGTGATGGGCATCAGAAGGGAAGTGAAGATGGATATCGTAACGGATTGGGAATCGGAGCAGTGGTTTTTGGGATCATAGCTCTGGCTCTTGGTGTGATTCTGGGAATGTTCGGTGGGCCCCGGGTGCGTCCTCTGATGGGCAGATGTGTCCAGACGTTCGGAAGTGAAGATTCCTCAGAAAGAAGAAGAGGCGATCCCTCAGGTGGGCTACGAGCTGAAGACGGGGAAAGTGGTGTTGCTCTGGCCAGAACTGCCCAGCCAGAGCTCTGAAGAATAAACAGAGTCTATAATTTTCTTTTTCAGAGATTCAGTGTCTTCTGGAAAAAACTTGAAGAAAAGGAAGCTTGATGTGATGAGTCTCAGCAACTCCTTAACCTCATGAGACAGCAGAACTTTAGTCCTCTAAACAGCTGTCTGTAAAACGTCTCCTCAGTCGGTTTTATTTTGAGATCAGACAAACACGTTACAGGATTTCATCAGTAGTGTGTTCAGTATCGTTCAGTGATTAATGGTAAGAATCAGGATGGAGTGGCTCAGATTCTTCTAACACTTAAATACTTTGTGTGTTTTAATTCCACACTTCAAATTTCTGCCCATGTTTAGCTTCAAATATGTAGAAAATCTTTGATCTTGCCATGGAAGAGATTCAGGAGACCGGGGTTTGCAGAAATAATGATGGTTTATTAAAAAGAGAGCGCTCAGTATATCTGCCTTAGTCCCACCCCAATCTGAACAGCAGCTCAGACACTCAGCTTTTATGCTATGAAACTGACCCTCCAGGATGACTCTGGGGGGTTAAATCTTGTGACTAGTAGTTTTGGAGGTCACTGTAGGGCTTAGCAGGGCTTTTATCAGAAGTGTCCAGTCTGGCTCTGGGATATTGTTTTTGGTATTGATGGATTCTGAGAGTTTTTCCATGGATATATAATCCATTAATTGGTTTTTCCAGTGGTTAATGCTGATGTTCTGTTTTGTTTTCCAGTTCATGGTTTTCTTGGTGATGGTTGGCCCTATGAGAAACATTCTATTATTCTCTTTTGTCTTATTGGCTGTTGATATGTCTCCTAGCAGGCAGAGTGATGGTGATGGTTGGATGTGGCTGACAAAGGTGTGGGATAGGAAGGTGATGATTTCTTGCCAAAACTGATGAACGGGTGTGCAGTGCCACCTGGCATGGATGTAGCTGTCGTTTGTGTGCAGATTGCTGTGTCTGTGAATCCCATTTTAAACACTGTGTGTGGTGTAGTGCTCTCTGTGGATGATTTTATACTGAATGAGTTGTAGGTTGGTGCTCTTGATCATGTGGTGGTTATTATTGCATGTCTGAATCCAGAAATCTGCATCAGGAGTTAATGATAAGTCTTCCTCCCATTGTCTGGTTGGTACAGTGATTGTGAGGTTTGATTTAGCTATTATTTGATATATTTTGGACAGTAGTTTTTCAGTAGTGATGTTAATAAATTCTGAGATTGGAATCCGTAAGTCCAGTGTTTTTGAGTTGATTTTTGGACATATTACTGATCTTAGTTGTTGGTATTGTAAAAACTGAGCTCCTGATATCAAATTTCTGGATTAGTTGTGGGAGTGACATTAAGCTATCATTGTGATAAACATGATTAAGATGTGTGATGCCTTTTTCCATCCAGGTGGAGAAGTTTAATGTTATTGATGATAAAGTTCAGGTTATACCAGATGGAAGTGTAGATTGTTGGTGTGAGGACTGAATTTGTTATCTTGTGAAGTGACCACCAAGCTGTCAGAGTTGTTGCCACAGTTATATTGTTTTTTAATTGACTGACTGATAAATGATAAATCAGATATTTGGATGTCTGCATAGTGCCTGTTCTATATTGATCCATGATCTGTCTGTAATGTTGGGGTTTTTCCATTTTAGTATGTACTGGAGCTGATTTGCAAGGAAATAATGGAAGAAGTTTGGTGGCTTCTAGGCCAGTGTTATGACTGCTGTTGGTGTTTTTTGGTGAGAGGTGTGGTCAATTAGATTTAACACTCTGCGAATATTGGTAGTTGAATGACGGACTTTGATGAAGCCTGTTTGGTCGAGATGTATTAAATCATGGATTACTGTTTTGATTCTGTTGGCTAGTGCTTTACTTAAAATGTATGTCTGTAGTAATTTTCTGCAGTGTGAGATTTTGAGTTGTTGCTTTTTGTTCTTGTGTTCACAGATCAGCTGTGTATTCTGTGCAGCTCTTTAACAGAGGCCTTTTTCTGAACTGTAGCTGCTGTAATGCTAAAGGTACTTTCAGACCAGAGCATGTTAACCTGTCTCTGAATGTAGCTCTGCTTTCAGAACACAAACCCTTTAAATACATAAACACTGGTTATTAACTAAACACTACTGTAATCAGCTGAAAGCACTGTTATTAAAGATGCTGATGAATTCAACAAAGAGAAAAGAATATAATGTGCATGTAGGTGAAACGCTTGTAAAAACTCAAGGGACAAAATAAAAAAAAATATCAAAAAAGAGATGGTCTGTATGTGGGAGATGGTCTGCCTCCATTAAAACAAAAAATATTTGTGCCTTTTTCGCCTCCTGATGCTGTAATAAACGAGCTAAAAAGAGAGCTAAAACTCAGCTTTATGAGGAGCTCGGCTCTTTAGCTTCATACACTACACCTGTAGGAGGAAACCTGGGTGTGATTTAGACTCTGAGCTCTGTTTAATGTAAACACAGTCACTAAAGTAGCTTTTTATCATGTGAGAAAACTGTTAAAGTTCAGCCTTTCTATCTTTTTTAGGAGAGATAATAAAGCTCTGCTGCTGTTTTTAAAGACCTAAATGACCTTAAAGCTCCTGAATGTCTGTTTATGATCTTAGATCTGCAGGATAATCATAACACTCGTTGTTTCTTGTATTACTGTTAAACATTATCATCTGTCTGAAAACACTGTAGAGCTGCAACTGCATGAGAAATACTGTATGAATAAAAGATACTGGATTATTATTATTATTATTATTATTAATGTGAAAGGAGTTTGGGAGAATGTGTTTTAATTTGTGTTTAGTGATTGAAAAACACTGTAACTGGATTTGTATCATGTACTTTCTGGTATGTATTCAGTGTGTCTGATTCTTACAGTGATCAATATTATAGATAAAACAGGATAAAAATGATAGGAATGTAAATTGATGTAATGGGGTTAAGCAGTGATAATGGTACGATAATTATGTGTAAACAACATTGACTCAGTGATTCAGTTTAGATTCTCTTCCATTTAATGCACATCTGTGTAATTTCCTGTAATACACAAAGTTTTTACATTTGTGCTTACTGTGCGTTTACTGATGAAATAAACGAATGGGTGCTCTGACTTCTGCACAGAACTGCTTGAATCTTTCCTACTTCCTTAGCATTTCGTACTTTATTAGTATTTCCTACTGAATTTATTTCACTAATCAAAGCCATAAGAAGCAAGAAACTCAGTTCATTCATAAAGCCAAGTGAATATCAGCCTTGAAGAGTTCTAGCTCTGTTATAGAAGCTCAGTTGCAGTATTTTCTAGAGTTCACTCTGCAATAAAGAAAAATCTTCCAATGAGTGTCAGTTCTGTGCCTTGTTGATGAGAGGTCAGTGAAGAATGGCCAGACTGGTTCGAGCTGACACAAAGGCTACTTTAACTCAGATAATAACTCTATACAATTAATAGTCATCAGAAAAGCAACTCAGGATGCACAAAACATCGAACCTTGTGGTGGATGGGCTACAACAGCAGAAGACCACGTTGGGTTCCACTTCTCTCAGCCAAGAGCAGAAAGCTGAGGCTGTATTGGGCACAGGCTCACCAAAACTGGACAGTTGAAGACTGAAAAACGTAGCCTGGTCTGAAGAGTCTCTGCAGTATCAGTGTAGTGTTGGAAATAGATTGTTGACTGTATATAACGAGACAGAGAGAGATTCAAATATGTTTATGTGACTTGTTTGGAGCAGCCTTTGTCTTATAGATACATTCAGTGTGGAGAGTGGACTCTCACTGTCCACTTTATCAGCTCAACTGACCATATGGTTTCACTTTGTAGCTCTACAATTACAGACTGTAGTCCATCTGTTTCTCTGCATACCCTTTTACCCTGTTCTTCAGTGGTCAGGACCACCATGGACCCTCACAGAGCAGGTACTATTTGGGTGGTGTGTCATTCTCAGCACTGCAGTAACACTGACGTGGTGGTGGTGTGTTAGTGTGTGTTGTGCTGGTCTGAGTGGATCAGACACAGCAGCTCTACTGGAGTTTTTAAACACCTCAGTGTTGCTGCTGGACTGAGAATAGTCCACCAACCAGTGACTTATCAGACAGCTTGACATCCAGACAGCTGCGTTCAGTTTAAGACACAGCCTTCATCTTATTTTATTCATTTATTTACCATTTTTTTGTATATTTTATTTTTGGCCTGTTGGATTTTAAAACATAAACTACCCAAACACTGGTCAACACTGTCTCCATGTAAATCTCAGCTTTGGTCAGAAGAGAAGAAGGTCAATATCAGGAAAAACCAAGAACACTATGAGATTCTGCTGTGAACTGAGTCAAAGGAAAACCAGAGACAGCAGTGTCCACTCTCAGCTTTCTGTCTGAGCCAGGGATGGACAGCATCTGGAATGAGACTTCCATCTAGAGTCTCCCGGAGAGGGGAGACATAATCTCTGTAATAAGGTTAATTATAACCTTAATACTGATCTCAATCTGTGTGTGAAGAATCTGTGTGTGACAGTGTGCTGGGCTGACTGGACAGACAGATCTTAATAAGATCATTAACTCTGTTACGGTGATGACTCTGTGTTTATTTGTCCTGAGGAAATGAAAGCTGTTTATTTTCACATGTTTAAGTTGTATTAACTGAACACTTTCAGGAAAAAACGGTTAAATCATAGTTGTTCACTCCTACAAACCTCCAGAATGCAGATTCACGTCTGATAAATCTGATAAACCTGCACTACCACCTGTGATCAGACTCAACAACCGAGTCACATTTACTGTGGAAACCACTGAAACTCATCTTTATCATCTGGACAGAGTGACCTGCACACTGACCTTCACTTCCTGCCAGCTTTGGTCACTGTGAGTTATTATTTACTCTTCATTTACTGCACTGATCTGATTCAGTAGAGCTGAAATGATGATGTTTCACTGTCTAAATATGAAATGGATGATATAAAATAGCAGAAATGTGGTTTAACGATGGTCACTCTGGTGGTCTCTGGTTTTCCTGTCCAAACTGGAATACACACCTAAGTACACCAGATTATGTGTGCACCCAATTATAATCTTAAAGCAGATAAAATTAATCTGTTAACACTGTAATATGCGCTCTGTCCATACTGCATCTGTCCACCGTCTGTCCAGCTTATAGAAGAAACAGACATGGAAGTAAAGTGAGTCTTAATTAATAATCAGTGGACTAGAGTTTGTGTGTATACTGTGAAGAAACGAATGCGTCCAGTTAAGCAAATCCTGACCTCCCAACTAGCCATGACTCACTTCTGGCCTAGTTCCTGCCATCTGAGCGTGCCACAACTGGTCCACCTCTGGCAGCTGTGTCAGCTCTGACTCTTTTTGAATGACTGCCCAGATTTGGGCCAAATATACCGGCCCTCTAAACCTAAGTTGACAGTACGCAGCACTGAACCTGATTCACAGTGAGAGCAGGACCACGGCGGTCCAACCAGAGTCGGGCCAGAAGCACCTACAAATACTAGCCAAGCCCAGCTGGGGCAGAACCGAGCCGGCACTGACCAGACTGTTTCTGACTCTCTGCTAACTGTGCCAGAGTCAGAACTGGGCCAGATGACTTTGCTAGCTGATTCATGCTAAACTTATAATATTCTCACTCTAATAATGAGAAATATTACACACATCGACTACATTTGAGATGCTGTCAGTTGATATGATGTATTTTGTGCAGTAGTTTCCAATATTAAGGCGGTGATTGTGCACACTGTAATGAGAATATTATCCTTGTTATAATTCCCACTGCTTCTGTTCTTGGGTCTTGATGTTCGGCAGTGTTTCACTTTCAAGAATCTGAGTGACTTTTTTTTTAGAGGGCTTCCACCTCAGTAACTCTCCTGTCCTCTCCTGGTCAGTACTGATGGTGTGTGTGTCTGTAGGTCAGTTCTGTTCTCTCTTTCTCTCTTCTCTCTCTCCTCTCCTGGTCAGTACTGATGGTGTGTGTGTCTGTAGGTCAGCCATGCAGTCCTGCAGTTCTGCTCTCTGTATCCTGATCTTACTGACCACTACATTCACTACTGGTAAGAACAGCACCATCACTGCTTGTTGAGATCAGTTTTTAATTTTATTTTCTGTTAGTCATCACTTCATCACAGTATTACAGAACTGAAACAGACCCAAATCAACCCCCTTTCCCTCCCTGTCCCACAGCTCCACCCATCCCCTCTGTCTATATGTTACATTGTTGACAATACATTAAATAAAATATTAAAACAAATTAATATTATTAAAAAATGTTAAAACAAATTAATATAATAACGAGATAAAACAAATTAAAAGAAAGATGTTAGCTCATACGATCTGCTTTAGCTTTAATGTTTCTAGCTGAGAATCATTAAACAATAATCCAGCTGGATCCACAGGAATTTCTTTCCCAGCCAGGGTGGAAAATATAGCAGCATTTTTCCAGAAGTCATGAACGTCCCTGCATTCCCTCACCATGTGAATGAAAGCTCCTACTTGTTGTGGGCGGTAAGGATTTAAAGCAACTGTTGTAAGAGAGCCTATCTGAGGTGTCCAGTATAACCTGTGACAGTACTGAAATGGATCAGTTGGTGTTTTGGGGTTTGGAATATATTTTCCACACAGTTTCCATATCAACTTCATTGACGGATTGAATTGGGAGCTTCTTATATGATCTTTTAATGAGGTGAGAATTCATGACTGGTACAAGACCTCACGATGGTGCACTAATGATCCAGCTGTAAACCAGATGTGCATTTGATGTTTGTTCCCCATAGACCTCCATATGCTTTAAGGTCTGACTGAGAAAAGCTGATTTTGGGATACTGAAGTGTTTTAATGTCCTGTCTTACGGCTCAGACACAAAGTACCCGAGTTGATATTTCTGTCGTGCCGTAATGAGGTTTGTTATGCTGTTTGTCATAGAGTTTGTGATGGTGTTTATCATGATAGAACCAAACTTTATCCAACAGTATTTTATAGACGTCCCAGAAAACAATACACCTGAAGTCTGATAGACCCACTTAATTTGCCTCCAAGGAGTCAGTCTGTAGTGGTCAAACCTGACCTTTAACACCCAGAGCTGGAAAGCTTTATGGTGTTATTAAATTGGGTAAAGATAAACCTTTATGTTAGAATAACAAAGACTGCCAAGTTTTTATGATATTTTTAAAGACTGTACTCTGATATTTTTTTACTTTTGGTTTGTGAACCAGATCTGGGCGTGCAGGTTTTATACAATATCATCCTGATAAAACTTTCATTTTATTTCATAATAAGCCAGCCACACAATAAAAGTGATGATATTGTAAAGACCCCCAATCCCCCAAGAGGTGGTCCGCTCATTTCCAAGAGTGACTAGCAGTCTACTAACTGATGTAAAGGATTTTCCAGTGATGCAGTCTGAGGCCCTGATTTAAAGATTTAAGGATATGATCTACTGACAGGGTCTGTGGAGGACTCCATCTTTTAAACAAGCACATTAGCTTATGCTGTCTTTACATGTGTAAATTCATACCAGGAGAAAAAAATTATTAGTAGTAGTATTTTTATATTACACTACATAATCTTTGTTTTTATTGCACTTTTTATTTTAGTTACAAAATGAAAATATTAGTTGCACAGGAGATGGACCATGGTCTTTTTTTAACGTGTCAAACTTGAACTCCTAATATTGTCTGGAGCTTTATTTCTGAATTTAGTTCTTTTATTTTTACATTTTTTTTACATAACGTGTAATAGTGCTAAGCTATTTATGTTATTAACAAAGAGTTCTATATTTGTTTCGTCTGAACATAAAGTATTAAAAGTTCCAGAACTTTGTTCCTGATTTGTCTAAATGCTCCTGTGAAAATTTTAGATGCGCATCTCTGTGATTGTTTTTCAGCAGAGGTGTTGTGTGTGGGGTGTAGATGTAACCCCTCCCTTAAGGCGCCTGATGAAATTTAAGGGGTGTACATTTCCATAATGACATGCAAATCTGCAGGTACACAATTGTCATTAGCGCGGTGCCTCCAAAAAGGTCTAAGACTTATTTTAAGTATTAATTACTCTCTTGAAAACCAGAGTTGTACTCAATGAAACCAACACTTTAGGAAAACTCAACAATGCGACCATTTCTTTTG